CACAGGATGAGTGGGGCCTCTCGTCCCTCAACACTGTGGGTCTCCATCTGTACCAGGGACAGGCCCTTCCTGCCCCAGGGCCACTGGCTGCTGCCTTTCCTCCCCAGACACAGGTCCCAGGATGTAGGAGGTGTAGGCTTCCCTAGCTCAGTCTCAGATTCAGTTCAGTGGGCTGTGGGCCATCTCTGGGCCCCAGGCTGTGTTTGGGTTGTTGACATATACTGTCTCAATCGGTCCTTACAACCCAGGAGGGCACGTACTTCGTACATTTTATATTGGGGAATTATGCCCCCAAGTTCCCACAGCAAGGAACCAAGCTGGGGTTTGAAATTGGACCTGCCCACTCTATCTGCTGCTGCACCCCTCCCAGGGTGCAGAGAGGACACACACCTGGTTGGCGTCAAGGATGACTGCCAAGCAAAATGCTTCTCAATTTTTATTTTGCTTTTATAAGTCACGCCCTGGATCAAGGATCTTAAAAATGCCAATAAATGCTGAGGCATTACAAACTGAATCCACGTTCTGCAGAGTGACGGCCAGCAAGGAGGTGGTGCTGCCTGAAGAATTCTGCTCTCGTGCCCAAGTGGCCAGCCCTGTAAGCCTATCAGTGGTCTCCTCCCAAAAAGCAAACAGCTCAGCACACTGGTCCCTGCTTGACAGCATCAGAACAGACCTGTGAACGCTTTCTGAGCTCAGCACCAGAGACTTGGGATCAAGCTTCCAGGAAGGAGTAGCCTTTGGTGTGACCAGCAAGCACTGTAAACAGAGGGATGGCCTCATACATTCCCTTCGCACAGGCATGCAGTTCCCTGACCTCCTGCTGACCATGGTGCTGGGAACATCTCTGAGCATCACACAGCAAACTGAGTCACCTTCCGGGCTGCTGCTCGGGTGGGAGTCGGGGGTGGGGTGGTGGTGGGATGGAAACTCGCTGAGGTCAGTCCCTGCCCTTGCCTGGGAATGGGGCAGAACGTTCCTGGAAGCTCCGGGGATTCTGGCTGAGTTTTTACACAGAGTCACACTGACCTCTGGGATTTAAGAGCTAAGCCTCAACCCTGAGGAAAATGCCTTGATGGAAGTTTTGATGACAGCAGTGGCTGGAGCAGGATTAAAACAGAGACTGCCCCAGGGCCACTGGGCAGCTGGGGCACACAGAAGTTCTCTACAGAGACAAAGGATGCCTCCAGCCCCATAAGAGAGGAGGTGCCTCTGTGGGTGCCCACACCAGGCTCTCTATGTGGAGCTGGTTAGGCCCCACTTGAACTAGGATGCTGGTACCCAGAGGTCTGATGCTGAGACCTCTAGCAGCTAGGACACTGGTACCCAGAAGACTGATGCAGAGGAACCAGGTCTTGTGAGACACAACGTTGACAGAGCAGCTTTGCTACTCACTGAGGCAGCAAGCATCAACTGAACATAGGGTCCAAGGGCATGGGTCCCCAAGGCTCAGGAAGGCGGCCAGGGCAGACGGGGGCTCTCCTGGATATGATCACCTTGCTTCCAAAACATTCTGCTCTGGGTTTTATGCCCTAGGCACCATGTGGCTCACAGAGCTTAAGAGTTACAGAATAACATCCTACTCTGGGTTGAAGGGCCACATGCCCCGCCCTGGGGGGTTCCAGACATCTCGTCTTAGAATGCAGTGTTCTCTCCAGCTGCTGCCTGAGAACTGCATGTAAAGAACAGGGTCAGTGTGGCCTTCCAGGCCCTGCCCCTACAGCCCTGCTGTTTCCTTTGCTCTGCGACACTCCCCTAGGCTGGCTTTCAGCCTTGGGTTCCCAGTGGTGACACAGCTGAGGCAACTACAGAGCTTCTCAGAAGGAACCCCAGGCTTGACTCTGTGGCCCCAGTGACCAGGCAAAGGGTGGAGGGGCATGATCCAAGCCAGGCCCTGTTAAAGCAGCCTTCTGGGCTCACCCTGCCTCTGCTGAGGAAGACACATGGGCAGAGCTTGGTGTTAGGGAAAGGAGAAGGTTACAGGCTGGACATGAGGCCCACAGGGCCACCATGAGGGGAGGGAAACGGCTTCCTGACTGGGGACCCAGGCTAAGGCTCTCCTGATGGTGGCTACTTTTGTGCTTTAAAGAGTAGGCCACATCCAGAAGCCAACACATTCCAGCCCCAGGAACTTCTGTGGTTTGCACCCAGGGCCGCTGCCCATGCACAGGCTGTAGCGGCAGCGGAGGTGCTCAGTAAATACTGGTGAATGCTCACTTTTCCCTGGGGGCTGCCCAAAGGCTAGAAACATCTTAAACCTTTTTTGGGGGGGGTGGTTAAAAAGGGGTAAAGAAAAGCAATTAAAGCAAATGGAGAGCTGGGCACGGTGTTACCCAATCCCAGCACTCAGGAGGCAGAGGCAGGTGGATTTCTGTGAGTTCAAGGCCAGCCTGGTCTGCATAGTGAGTTCTAGGACAGCTGGGGCTACAGGGAGACCCTGACTCAAAAAAGAAACAATAATAATAATAATACACATGCAGGGTCATTTGAAAGGCAAAGTGACTGTCCCACATGGCTGCTCTATTAATCACAGCCCACGATGGAGAACAGCCAACTCTTCCCCTGCTACCCAGAAGCCTCAGCTGGCCCCAAGGCGTTACAGTGCTCATGCAGGTGGTGACAGGTTGGGGATGGTTTTCATTTCTTTATACTCTGGCTTTCTGTTTTCCATCCATCCGCTCGACCTGGGCTGCACACTGCTGCAAGAAGATCACCTCTTATTACATTAGGGCAAGAAACGTCTTTCCTGCAGGCATCTTGCTCAGTGAGTTGGAGAGTGGCCACTGGTACTGGCTTGCACACACTACCAGCTGATCTCCACAGCTCCTGTCCTGAATGATCTTTCCAGTCCACAAAGCATCATGCCAATTCGATTCACCACAGGTCCTGCCCAAATGTCAGAGGCCAGACAGCAATGAAAGACTATTCCTTCAGGGCCAGCACAGGCCTTAGTCAGAAAAGTTAATGGCTGATAGAAGATTGGGGTGGGGGGAGCAGAATCATCATTCTTTTTCAATGATACGGAAAGAAAACCAAAGTAGAAGACTACAAGTCAGCCTTTACTAAGATGACCCATGTCAAAGCCAGGTAGTTCATTAAGCAGCTTAAAGAAATAGCCTTAGGTGGAAAAACTACGTACAAAGATACAGTGTCTCCTGGTGACAACCTGTAAGTTAAACACAAACTGCAAACAAATTCCAAAGAACTTCTTTGGATCCAAGAGTGAGAGAAGTCTCAGCCTTGACAAAATATATACCAAGGTTCATCCGCAGAAGAGATTTCTAAAAATGATGGGGGGTGAGGGGTTATTTGCTTCAGCTGACGAAGGTGACTGTGGACCAGGACAATGGAAACGAGGAGCAGATGTGAGAGGACAATCCAGCAGGGCAGTGCAGAGGCAGAGCTGGTAGCCCTGCCTTCGTGTCCACCTTCCACAGGGGGTATTCAGAACTGTGCATGACTCAGCCAGCTGACTATACTCCATCTGATCCCCACCTCACACCACACTTAGATATACACACATCAATATGTACCCAAAACAAACATGACAATGGACTCTCTCTTGGCCTGAGAAGAATTTCCAAGTGTGACCTGCAAGGCTGGGAATACACGAATCTTAGGTTTTAAAGCTCAAAAGCTTAAAGCTTTTCCATTTTAAGCCCAAATGGGAAAGCTAACACATTAGAAGGCAACCAATGAAGGTTTACAATGGACGACAAAGGTTTTCTACTTTCAATATGTAAAAATATTTCACAAACAAAAAACAAAACCCATACAGAGCTGGGCACAGCAGTGCACATCTGTAATCCCGTGCTCCTGCAGCAAGGAGGGGGTGAGGGGAGGCAGGATCCCAGAAACTCACGGGCCAGCTGGCCTGCTGTGCACAGTGGCAAACAAGAGTGGCTCAAACAAGATGGAAGGCAAGGACCAAGACCCAAGGGCATCCTCTGACCTCCATGTGCATGCCATGGCATGTACATGCATGCACTCAGATGAACATGTGTACAAGTATGTTTGCACACACACACACACACACACACACATATATGCGCGTGCGCTTTAATAATAAAAAAACAAGAGGCATCATCACAGTGAGTACAAAAGGACCTGGACTGTGAGGGGGGACTGTGTCCATGGGGCACAAGGAAGACACAGGGTGACCCACGCAGACAGTGGCAAAGGCCCACCACTTTGAAATGCTCCACCCTGAGGGCACCAGGTCACCTGTCTTCCTGGGGATGCAGCTGGAGAGAAGTACCCAGTGCCATCTCCTGCTGCCCTCTGACTTGTGTGCTCTGTCAGATCTGCCCACTTTTTTAACAAGGTAGAATCTGTTAGCCTCCTTTTCCTCAAGTAAGAATGCTGAGCACCTGGTCCCAGTGCAGCTGGGATTCACCTAGGACAGCCTCTGACCACACCTTCACGCGCTGCTTGCCCTCAGTGGCAGCTTGGTATTCAAAGTCCCCTAACACAAGTACAGAGTGTGTCCCAACAAGTCCCTTCAGGAACTGGCCACGTGCAAGGCCACATGTGCCTATGTGGCAGCCACAGTGTTTGAGGAGCAAGCCTCCACACTCATCCCTCTGGGAGGCCTGTTAACCATGGACATTCATGTGGCTTGGTGGAGGAAAAGGCCAGGTTATGGGAAAAGGTGGGGGAAAGACACCTACAAACACACACACACATACATACCACACACACACGGGAAGAAAGCATGTGAGAACACATGTTAACATGACAGCAGCTGGCACAAGGTGGCAGAGGCCCCAGAAGAGGAGGTAGGACTGCATAGCACAGGTCATTGTCACTGCTCCTGGGTGAAGTAAACCAGGCATGAGCCAACGATCACAGCGTACAGGCTCTGTGCCCAGACGCCCAAAGTAAAGGAGTACAAGCCAGTGGTTATTTCCAGTGTGAGATCAGTGAACTTGTTTTCTTTGAACTTTGCTATGTTGCCAAACAGCACCCAGAGAGGTGTACCAGCTTTTAAAAACAGTAGAGAGAGCAGAGATAAGACTTAAACACTTTATTGCAACTTTTCAGGTTTTTGCTGTTTACAAATGTTTCATTTTTACTTTACTTAAAAAGTTGTCTTGATGAGGACTCTGCACCTAGGCCTGCTCCACTGGCCACCAGTCAGCCTCACCCTGACTGAAGAGTGCGGTGCGTGTGTGAGCTCAGGGACTGAGGATGCATGGCACATAGCCAGGCATCCTCTGCAGGTCACTGACAGTACCTGTGATGCCTGCAAGATACCACGGGCATCTATCAAATTCTGCTTGTCCCGGAGCTAGCCTGTCCTAGGGAGGAGGACATTCTAGACCGGGGTAGGACGATGTACATGGCACACACAGCAGCACTGCTGCCACCAGTCAGAGCTCTCCAGTCAGAGCCCAGACTACCTGACCCGATGGGCACACGGGCTTGTCTATCCAGAGCTTGCACGCTCCTGACCTAGGACTTCTAGGAACTTCTGGTCAGTTTCCAACCACAGACTGAGTGGTAAACCAAGGTCCCGCCTGATAAAAAATGTAAAACACAAGCAGGGCGTGTGGTGCACGCCTTTAATCCCAGCACTTGGGAGGCAGAGGCAGCTGGATCTCTGTGAGTTCAAGGCCAGCCTGGTCTACAAAGTGAGTTCCAGGACAGCTGGGGCTACAGGGAGACCCTGTCTCAAAAAAACAAAAAAAAAAAAAAAAGTAAAACACAAAAGGGTCGTCACTTGACTAGATGGGCTGAAGCAAGCTGTATGTGTGGTAGGACAGGAAGGCACATACAGTGAGAGCTGGCAGGAGGCCCCAAGGCCTCGTCCCTCACTGTTGGGAAAAGCCACAGACCCGGGTGAGGAAGCTCATCCATAGACTCACAGCACACCATTTCCACAGGGACATTTGGTGGAAATCTGAGGAACCCCAGCTGGCAGGCCCCAGTCCACCCATACCCCTGGACAGGGCTCCCTGAGACATGCTGAGGAGTGACATCCTCAGGCTCTGCAGGCACCGCAGCTCAGAACCAGCCCATCAGACATCCTTCCTCCTGTTCTGACAGCAAGAAGGCTTGGCACCATGGGCCCCTCACCCTTCAGGAGCACAAGGGGTGGTTGTAGCTAGCGTGGCATGGTCATGTCATATGGGAGTCCGCTGAGGGGATGATCAGTAGGCACAGGTGGCACTGGGCATTTTGCCTGCTTTAGGAATATAAGTACCAAACTCACTGCCAACCAGGCACTGACACAGTGGGGAGGCTGGTGGCGAGCAGCCAGATGTCCCCATCACCATCCCCACAAGCCACACCTCCTCTGTGGAAGAATTTCCTCAGTGGAAACTTCCAGTGCCACCAAAGAAAATAAAATATTTTCCCATAAAAATCTTCAAACAATGTCATTCTGACGGTCTGTGGTGCAAAATGGTAAGTAGTAAGTCAAATAATACAATCCTTGGTGTGACCGGGTCACAGTGAATTGAAGAACCAGATTGGCGTAACTCCTTAGGGAAGCAGAGCTTTGTAAAAATCTCCCATGAAGCTCTCACTTGAGCAGAAACTTTCATCATGAGCCCTGGCTTTACTATCCCATCTATGCCCAAAGAGAGAATGGGTAAAATCCTAATTCTTAAAAGTCCGAGACTCAGAAAGACAGTCTGCAAATTCCCTTTCCACACAGCAGGTCACAATGACCCAGACTGACCCCGAGATGGAATCCTTGCCCATCTCAACATGGGTGTGACCAGACGACCAGGGACAAGGCGTGGTGTGCGTGCTCTGCAGTGCAGTGCTTCCGTCTCCTGGAGCTAGAGCTCTGGATCCGGGTCTCTGGGTCAGTGGTTCAGGCTGTGGCCATCTGTTCCCACTGCATCTACAGCTGAGACTTCAGCCTGTTTGCCTCAGGCTTGCTGGTGGTGAATTCAGGCCACCAAGCTGCACGCTCCAGCACACCCCTCTGCTGCAGGATAGCATTCCATAGGTTTTTATAGAGCTGCGGGAGACACACAGAGCGGAAGTCAAGAGCAGTGACCGGCAGAGGTCTCACAGGACAAGTGGCCAATGCGATGACTTCTCATCTTGTGAGGACAGGAAGTTCTCCACTGCCGCTTTTTAGGAAATGTTAAGACTACATTTGATTTATATAAGCCTTTTATTTTTTGGTAGGAAGCAGTTATGAAAACTCAATAATAAAAGTTCCATAAAACTGCTTCTGATGGGCGCCATCCCCTACTCCCTCCCTGGGAACTCACTGCATGGTGGACACCCCACCCCTGCATCCACCAGGCCATGCTCTGTCTTCTCTGAGACCTGTTTCCAGCTATTCCATGCTGCAGGCTGCATAAGGCAGACATGGCCAAGCAGCGTGAGGAGGCTCTGGAAGGGGTGGGAGGAACTGGGTCCCCCACTGCAGCCCCACAACCCAACTGTGCCTCCCCTGCGGTTCTCCAGAGCCTCTCAGGGACCTCACTTGGCTGCACTCAGTCTCAGCTTCTCATTGGAAAATGGACTGTCCAGGAGGAAGGTGCAGATCAGACCTGGCCAAGCCTCATCTCATACCTACTCTAGACATGGAAGTCAGCCTTTGACAGAGTCAGCTACAGCAGAGCTGCAACAGGACAGATGGCTTGGGGGACCACGGCTCTGAACCCACACACCTGTGCAGATGTGGGCAATTCTGCACCAGTTGGTATCATCCACACTAAAAGATGCAGCAGCCTGTACCTGCCCAACATGTCCTCCAGCATCCCCCTGCACTCAAGACAGCTCCAAAGAAGTGTATCTGTGCTGCTCTTACATGTGGTGAGAACTCAGACCACATTTCAAGGGCACACAGCCCTGTGTCTCCTCAATGCCCTCTCCTATCTCCCAGACAAGTCTGCATATTGAAAGCCATTTCTACCTGGTAGGGCCTGATTAGAGCTAGCTTCCTCAGGCGGGGGAATGCATGTGATTAGCAGCCATGCCAGGCAGTGTTACGATGCTGCAGGCTGAGATGTAACACCCAGAGCTGGGGGCCCTTCGTGGGGACAGCTCCCCTCTGCCTCTAGCTGGTCCTGGTCAGAGAGCTGGGCACGGCTGCAGTCCCCTCTGTTCCCTGTGATCGGGGGTCCTAAAATGCCTGGAGTCTACCTGCCTGGGGAGACCTGAGTGGGGCAAATTCTACTCCTCATTGCTCTCCCAGGACCTAAGGTTCCTTGCACACAGATTCTCCTAATACTCAGATCTCTGAGTACCTAAGGCTCAGATCTCTGCTCACAACTGACTCTGCCAAGCTCTGGCTGATCAGCCATGGACCACCCAGTGGGTTTCCCTGCACCTCAGTCTCTTATCACAAGAGGACATGGTAACTAACACACACTGTGGGCCACTGGCCTTCCCTGCAGATGCTCCTGATGTGACCAGAACTCTCCATCCCAGATCTGCTCCCAGGATGTACACTCCTGTAGCATGACCATGCTGAGCCTGGGGTGCTGACCTTCCCTAGACAGCCCCGTCACAGGTGGTCCAGCACTGATTCCAGCATTGTCTCACCATTAATCACCATCTCAGTAGAGCCCCAGGGTCCTCCACATGGTCATGGGGTGGGTGAAAGTTAAACCTGTCCCGCAGTTCACAACTGTAAGATCTCACGCAAGTGGCTGGATACCCAAAATGCCACACTGTCTTATTAAAGTGAGACAACAGCCCCATGGGTGGTGAGGTACTGGGACACGGCAGGCTGGGGCATCACCTTGACACAGGCATCACCACGTGTGGGGTTGTCATATAGGGAGACACTCTCAGTTGCCAGGCCCGCCCAGAAGGAGAACGGGTATGTGTTCCAGGGGACAGAGAGGACTCAGCAGAAGCTGAGTGAACAGAGGGTGATCCAGACAGTAGGGCACGCAGCATGTGCGAAAGCCCTGGGGTGGGAACCAGGCCAACACACTAGACCAGAGGGAAGGACACAGTGGCTGGAGTTGGAAAGCAACACGATGTAAAACGATAGGGGAGGAGCATTGGAACACGGCACAGCGGGGGCAGAAGGATGCAGCAGGTGCAGCGGACACAGGAGAGTGAAGAGAGAGGGTACGGTGGGAGCAGGAGGGCATAGGAAGGTGTGGTAGGTTCTGGAAGGCATGCTGGGGACAGGGGTGTCTGGCTATATCTCAGGTGCTTGGCTGTTGGGGGTTGCTCTCTGCGAGAAGAAGCTTGAGCCCAGCTGCTTCTGAATAAATCAGTTTAGAACTCAGGAGCAAGTGCATTACCAGGTAGCTGTGTGGGGGCCATGAGACTGTATGAGGGGCACGGAGGGGTAGCAGCTCCTACAGCTGGGATGGTCAACTGGGTAGGCATCTGATGTTGGCATCGGGGCAGGGGACGCCTTGAAGATGCCCAAGGCTTTAACCCAGGAGACCAAGCAGACAGGGCCATGTCTGACCAAGGACTGCCACATGGGGTCTGTGGCTCTGGCATTTGTGTCTGCAATTGGGCAGCAGGGCCTGTATGGACAGTAGACTCAGGGCAGGCAGGGAGGGAAAGGGGGCTGAGACCTCGGTTTTGACAGACTTACTGTCATCTTACACCCTCCCACCACAGCAGGAACCTCCCTGTCCCAGAGGGTAAAAGGCAGCCAGGGATGGGAACTGGGGGGCAGTTGAGCTAGAGCAGAGAACTGCGAATCACTGGTTGCTCTTGTCCCTAGGAAGCTCCTCTAAGTGTGACCATTTCTAGGAGGGCACTCAAGTTCCTGACCCACATTACCATCTCAGGACCAGCACGGACCCCTGTCCAGTGCCAGCAGCCGCAAGGGGTGCTCCCCTTACCTCGCCATCAGCTCTGCCAATTGGGGAGCCCAGGATAAAGTCGGGAGGGGCGATCACGTCCACCAGGGCCACTGCATCGTCTTTCAGCTGTTGGGAAACAAAGCCCGTCCACTTGGCGACGCCCTGCAGTCTCCAGGGCGACCATAGAGTAACAGAGTCACTCTGCTGGTTGCTACAGTGCACTGGTAACCTGAGCAGGTACCCAGAGCCCTGAGGCCTCACTGCCGGGTTACAGGCTCCCTGGGTGTGTGTTTTCATATTTCCACCACGTCGCCATGCACTCAGGAGGGCCTGGCGTTTGTTGCTGCAGCCAGGCAGGGACACTGGCGAAGTGATAAGTGCGGCTTGTTAGTGTGTCCCCAGAGGCTTGTCCCCAGCCCGTGGCTAGTCTGGTGACTGCTGTCCTAAAGCAGCAAAGGAAGTCCATGAGCCACAGGGACACAAAATACTCAGGAGCTCCTGCAAAAGCCATCACACTGGCAGCTGAAGGCTGGGGTTCCGTGGTCCCTGCTCCCTCACACAGATCATCACTGGGTCCCACAGTGGAATCTGCTGAGGACATGCCCAAGGATGTTCTTGAAATGCAAACAGTTTATTTTCTTCAAATAACTCCTGCCAAGTACAATATGGTTTAGGTTAGCAGTCCTAATGGTGAGGTGACTGCACAATGCCAGACGGTGACTTCCAGAAGGCGGGGGTGCACTAGAAGCCGGGACTGCAGAGAGCACAGACAGCACAAAGGTGACTTGACCCACCTGTACACACAGGGCCAGGATGGCGTCCTCCATCGCTCTTCCTGCTTGGGCACCAGAAATGTAGCCACCTGTAAGCACAGCCTTCGTCACACCCCGTAAGTGGGTTTTCACTCAGCCCCACTGGGCCTTTGGGATGGAGACATCAGGGTATCGCAGCCTACAGTGATCTCTGGGAAGGAATGCACTGGCCTGATCAGTTCTGAGGTTCCCTACCCCTGTGGGTGTGACACGCCTGGCCAAGAGGCAGTGAGGGAGGGAAAGCCCTGAGGCTTAGAGAGTGGGTGGGGTCCTCCGGCAGAGGGAGCAGGGAGTATGTGCACAGGAGATAACACCAGTGCCCAATGCCTGGTAGGTGGGAGTGCAGGGCTGGTGGCCAAGAGGAGCCACAGAGCTGTGGCATGTGGGACGTGCAGGCCTCTGAAGCCACTATGGATTGGAGTGGGAGACTCATACCCCCATGTCACCTCAAGCCCACAGCGGCCTTCCTATGGAGTCTCAACAGTGGCCTTCGCACTTGCAACTTATGTCGGCTGAAGCTACTCTTGTGAAGATTTTCAGTGAAGAGAAATGTACCCAGTCACTAGACTTTCTGGAACAGAGGGACAGGTAGCACTTACCCCGGTAGAGCAGGGCTGAGTGCCGGCTGAGGGACCATAGGGCGTAGAGCGCGCTGAGCCGCCCGAGCACAGCCTGCAGAGACGGAGGCACACTGCAGCCATGTGTGTGCTTGTGGAACCTCTGCACCACGGTGAGCTCCATGAAGGCCAAGGACAGGGACCGGCAGCAGTACACCTACACAATGGAGCACAGGCTCAGTGACCAGAGGGAGGCAGCCGGGTGTGCTCCAACTGCACAAGCCAGGTCTCACACTGGGAGGAGCTACCACTGCAGCCCAAGATGCACGTTCGAGTGCACTTCCTAGGAGGGCTGGACTGCAAGGTGATGCAGCGAGGAGACGTGGCACAGCAAAAATAACAAACCCCCAGTGAAGTCAGGGGAGGGGCTGGCACTACACACTCCAAGACACAGTCCATTGTCACCTGGTCCCCACATGAAGCTGGGAGAAGGGCCTGGCATTTGCACACTCTAAGGCAAGCCTATTGTCACCTGGCCCCCACGCCCAACTTGCAAGTGAACAGAGTCCCAACAGGCTGCTATCACTACACTGGAGAGACACAGCATGTGGCCCCAGGGCACAGGACTTGTCATCTTCTGCACCTGGGGACACTGGAGGAACACAGTGGGGCTCTGTAAGCCACCAGTATCGATGCATGGCAGGTTCTGTTGCCAGGGAGAATGGCTAGGGCTGTCCTCTCCTCCACAGCTCCTCTTGCTCACAGACCAAGTCCAAGACTGGAGAACAGCCGCAGGCACTGTGGGACCCCTTCTCTAGTCACAGACCATCACATCCCCGGGGTGGCTGGTCACCACAGACCTCTTGGGTAGCCTTCTCTGATACTGACGGAAATCTGAAATATTTGCTGACTGTTAGTCTTCCTCCGACACTTCACCTCATCAGAGCTTTCAGAACCACGGACGACACATGCACTGTGAGCCCCAGCAGGGGCTGCTTCTGAGTGACAGACATCATGCAAGTCAGCCAGAGGGCAGGAAGCACTGCCTTGTGAGTCTCTGGACCACACCCAGTCCCAACCAGAACCCAGCAGAGAGGGCCATAGCCATAGTCACCAGGCCAGTCAGGCTACAGAGTGAGATAACTCAAAAGCTCTATGCTCCAGGCTAGACCTACACCCGAGAGTATTTGGGGAACACAAATTGGACTCAATAGGCCTTAAAAAATATAGGGGGCAGGAAGTGGGGCTGGGGCGTAAGAAGATGGGAGTCGATTGAAGAGGAGATGGGGAGGGGTTTAAATAGGATCAAAATACACAGCATGGCATTTTCAAAGAGCTAATACAGATTATTTTTTTAAAAAAGCTGAGCTGGCTGGGCGTGGTGGTGATCTCTGTGAGTTCAAGGCCACCCTGGTCTACATAGTGAGTTCCAGGACAGTTGGGGCTACAGCGAGACCCTGTCTCAAAAAAAAAAAAAAAAAAAAAAAGGCTGAGTCTGACATGGCGGCGCACGCCTTTAGTCCTAGCACTCGGGAGGCAGAGGCAGGCGGATCTCTGTGAGTTCAAGGCCAGCCTGGTCTACATAGTAAGTTCCAGGACAGCTGGGGCTACAGGGAGACCCTGTCTCAAAAAGACCAAAAATAAAAAGCTGAGGTGGGCATGGTGGTGCGTATCGTTAATCCCAGCACTTGAGAGGCAGAGGCAGCTCATTTCTGTGAATTTGAGGCCAGCTTGGTTTACATAACAGGCTCCAGGACAGCCAAGCTACATAGTGAGAAAAAACAAAACAAAAAAACAAACAAAAAATTTTTAATGTAATTAAAAAAATTTTTTAAAGCTGAAAAAGGGAGTTAGGTAGAGTTCAGTGGGTGAAGTGCGTGCTGCCCGAACAAGAGGGGGTTAATTCCGACTTCCCAGCACTCACGTACAAAGCTGGGTATGAAGGCATGTGCCTGAAATTCCACCATTGGGATTCAGAAACAGGAGGGTCCCTAGAGCTCACTGGCCAGCCAGTCTAGCCAGCTGGTGAACTCCAGCCTAGTGAGACCCAGTCTTACAAAGCAAGGTGGGGAGCAACATAGGAAAACACATGCCATTGATCTGAGGCCTCTACATTCACATACATGGGTACATGCCCTGTCCCCTCCCACGTGCGCGCACACACACAAAACCAATGCAGGGTCTGCAGTTCATGGCTGACATTCTCCTTGGGTGCTATGGAGACCAGTGATTCCAGAAAAGAAGAGCAGAAGAAAATGCCATCTTCCTTCTGCCTCATGCCAGCCTGACAGACTCCATCCAGAGACCCTTCACAGCCACACAAACCCCCAGGGCAACCCACAGCCTGCTTCTCACTGTCTGAGCATTGTGAGGGGGGGGTCAGGGCCCTTGGCTGGGCTTCTGGTAGCTGTGTGTGCACGCACAAAGAGCTAGCGCCCCAGCCTGAGTGTTTACACTTGCAGGAGCAGAGCTTCTGTCTGGCACACCTGCACAGCCCTTGGCCGCTCCATGACCTGGAGCTCTGCTGTGCTCTGCCCTTGCTCAGCCCCCTGCATTCTGCACATGGATGCCCTTTTGTATCTTCTGAGAAATGTCCAGGTAAGACAATTTGTCATTCAGGACACAAGCTCTGGGGACAGACTCCCTGGTCAGCCATTAACACAGGCTGGCACAGGAAGTGTCCTATAGCCTCCCATAGGCAGAACTCCCCTATTCACTGTCACGCTGAAGGAGCTCCTGGCACACACCAGTGTGGACACTGCTGCCACATAGCTGTACATCATGGGGATGGTGGGGCAACTGCCTGTTCTGGAGCAGCTTCTGGGAAGTCTCAGTGTCCTAGTCCCCAGATCTGGACTCATGGCAAAAGAGCACTGCCACTCTGCAACAGTGGGCTGGGGGTAGAGGGACCCAGTCTTTCCCCTCTGTCCACATCCAGCCCCCAGGCTGAGCTTCCTGCTCATGAGGCCAGCACACTTCCAGCCCCAGGGAAGTCAGGCAAAAAGCAAGCCAGGGGCACTCAGATGTCTGAGATCTGCTCTATAGCAGGTGATGGAAGCTTCAGGGAAGTCCTAAGCTGAACAGGGAGGGCTGGGCTCACCGGTCAGCAGACCCAGGTCCTGTCCTTGTCTGGCACAGTTCAGCCAAGACATCTGTGGCATTTCTCACGTGCAGTAACTCCCCAAAATGTCATGAATTATATGCTAAGCACCAGTGTGGCTAGAGGGGGGCAAAGATGTCTTTATCCTCCCCGTATCTGTCTCCAGTGGGGATTGGGAGGAACTCCTGATCAGGTCCCCAGTGGCAACTGTGAGGCAGGGGTGGGGACCTACTGGACACAGACGTGTCACCAGGCCCAAACATTGGAGAGGTCATTGTTTTCATAACCAAACATACACGTGGCTTCCAGGAGACAACAGCAGGTGTCAAGAAAGAAACTAGGCACGGTGCACACTGCTGGAGTCTCAACACTCAGGAGATGGAGACAGGCAGATCTCTGTGACATCGAGGCCAGCCTGGTTTACGTAGCAAGTTTCAGGGCTACATAGAGACCCTGTCTCAAAAAACAAAACAAAACAAAAAAAGCAAAGGAGACGTTTTCCCCAGTCAGGCTGAAAGAGTGAGGAAACCTGTGCTAGGTAAAAGGTTGGGTTTTAGAAACAGAAATGGCAGTTGTTAATTCCCTCAGAAGACAGTGACAAGTAGTCATCACCAACAGCAGCCCAGGGCCAGGTACACAGCCTCAGCTGCAGGTCCCCAGCCTTGCCCAAGCCAGGCTGGTCCTCACTTGGGGCATGCTTTCTCTTCACCAAGGTCTCCATTGGTCTCACGGTCCACACGCTCCCACAGTCCACAGCTGGACTTTATAGAAGCATCTTTTGCTCTTCAGAATGCTGAGCCTTCAATCAGATCTGACAGCTTTCTTTTGCAATTTCCTGAGAAGGAGGCCGGACAAATGTTTCCAAGGTTTTCTTCTCACGCTGCATCACCATGGGTCACATCTCCCACGAGGTCTCAGCGGTCAGGAATGACCTGGCCTTGATCCTAAGCAGGTCTGGAAAATGCTGCCACCTCTAGGTCCTCCTTGCCTCCAAGGCCCCATGGCTGGCCCTGTCAGAGGCTCCTGCCCCTCTGTAGAGCTGTACACCAACCGGTGTGTGTCAGCATCCCAGTTCTCCCCAGGACACCATCTCAGCTGGATCCGCACCCAAGGCCTCCATCCCTCTTCAGTCACTGGATGACTGAGCTACTGCGCAGGTCTTCAGTACCTCTCTACAGGAAGTCCTTTCTGAAGACACTGTACCACACAGGCACTGGTGGGCCACGCAGACACTGTCAGGATTAAGAGGTCATGTGGGCAGGTGCCCAACACTGAATGGGGCTGGGTGGGCTACCAAGGGACCGCACAGAAGCCCACAGGACTCTTGTGGTGGCGTAGACCCAGATGTGGCTGGGAAGAGCCTGTGGTCTCTGCTCCCTGGGGGCAGTAGTGACCTGCAATCACTACCTCTACTTTAGAATCAGGTCTGGCCAGTAGAGAACAAGTGGCCAAAGCTAATGGCCACACCATTTCCTCCTGTGCTTCAGTCCAGGACACAGAAAGTGGCTTGTTCTAGACTGTCATCTCAAGCTTCCTAGTTCTAGCCACAGCAGCCCTGAACTAAAAGTTCACTGACCGTGGCCCTCCGCTCAATCCTCAGGTTTCCAGCTGTACGCCTGACCTTACTTTACTCAGCTCAGGAGGCTTGGGCATCAGGAGCTTCCTCTGGTCTCTTCCCCGGGGCAGGTAAACCCAGCAGGTTCCAGGCTCTGGCAGCCACAGGGTATGAGCGCCTTTGCAGAAGTGACGCTCAAATTGCCTGGTACAGTGCCAGGGCACCTTGTCCTGGGCGACACCAAGGTTAAGGACAGCAGTAGAGCTGCAGACTCCCTGTCACCTCCTCTTGGTCCTCCCCAGAGGACAGCCATCAGCTCAGGTCCACAGTCAGGGCTGGGCCTACCTCATAGCCTGGCACAGTGAGAGGCTTGTGTCCCACAGATCTCAGGAACAAGAGCAGCGATACCCAGATATGAGAAGCCAACCCTCTCCTAGCCAGGCAGGAGCTGTCTGTGGCCCGTTCCCACCAAGGCCACTGAGAACGTGACAGAACTGCCGAGTAGAGGCGGGGAGGGGTGAGTGGTGGTTGGGGCATCACTGTCCTGTCAAGCATCCCCTCTGTGGGTCTGAGCCACACTCCCACTCTAGTGGTTACAGCTTTAGTTTAGGGCAGACACCCCTTGTCATAAATACAACACTTTCCATTGCCCCATGGCCAGGAAGGCAGGTGCTAATACTTTACAGACAAGCAAACCAGGGTGCCAAGAGATGAAGCTGTAGGGATCTCAAGGTCACAAGAAGGCAAGGCTGGGGCCTGCAACTGCCAGGGCCTTGGCTTCTGGGAACAGACACCAGAGTAATCAGACCAAACAGAACCAGTCATAGAACAGCGTACCTGACTGTTGTTCCTTGCTTCAAAGTCGCTGCCTCTGGATCTTTTCTCTTGACAGAATCTCTGATGACTCTCTTGTAGCAAGTAGCAAACCAGCCAGCGGTACGCCACCAGGGGGGCTACAGAGGGGACACAGGAAACATGACTGTGAGCACCTGAATTTCACCACACACATCCCTGGGCAGGCAGTGCCACCAGCACTGTGTACCCTGGGTGATTTTCATGAAGAGGGTAGAGGGTGGGATCACTTTCCTGACAGAGAAACCCAGTCACTGAGGGTAGCTTAGCCCACTGCCAGGTGGGAACGGCAGGGCCAGGCATGGGTGACGGTGTTTCCACACTGTCATAGCACCTGACATGCTACAGGTCAGAGTCACCTGCAGCCAGTACCTCATTACAGTGAACAGCACCTTCCTGCTCAGCTCCCACAGGTGTGGTATATGACACACAGCGGTGGCTCTCAGGAGCCAAGGCCTCTGAGAGACTGGCCCAGGGATGAGAGGAAGGGCACCTGCACTCAGCCTTGCCGACCAGGTAGAAAGCTCCCTACAAGGCTCTCACGGTAGGAGAAGTTACAGGCGGGAGGACAGGGCAGGGGTACTGGTCAGCCAGACAGCTTGGCGGGGGGTGTTCATCCTCACCATCACACCTGAGCTGACTTCCCACAGCAGTTGTGTCTCCCTGTCCCTCCTCCCAGGACAGGGCACAAGACAAGACAAGCCACACAGCCTTGTATAGGAACAGGTTTGGATCAGCTACATGGCAGGGTCCACGTGCTCCCCACCTAACACCCTGGGGAAGAAGGACCCAGGCACCTGGTCCAAGGCACCTGCAGGCTTCAGGGAAGAAAGAACAAGGAGCCTCTGCTGGCAGCTGCTCTTGGCTCAGAGCTCCCAGGAAGGAAACAGTGTCTGGCTACATCGGGACTGAGTCCATTTCCTCCTGTGTCACAGGCCTATTTCCAGGGAAAAGATGCACAGGGCAGCTGGCTGTTTCCCTGCTGTGGTGCTAATTAGTCCACAGGACTCACATGAAAAGTCCACCAAAAGTCATACCTCAGGCTCAGAGATGCCCAGTAGCTGGCCCACGAACGACTACACAGCAACCACGAGCTGTGGCAGAAAGGCAGGTTGCTGTGGCTCCAAGCACAGGAGTTCCAAGGAGCAGGTGAGGAAGGAGAGGGGCTTGGGATGATGCACCCCTCCTGGGGTCCTACCAGGGTGGTGCAGACAGGTAGCCCCAAATATCTGCCAGGTTCTGAGTCCTGGAGCCTGTGGCTGGCTTTATTAAAAGAGCCATTGCAGGTAGGATGAAGATATGGATATCAAGGTTATGTCAGCCTGGATTAGGGCAGATCCCAACTACAATGACAAGAGTCCTAACAAGGGACAAAGAGGAGGGCATCCTGTGACAACAGAGGCAGACTAGTATGTCACTGCCACGGACCACGAATGCCTGGAGTCCGAGGGAGGGACGGGAAGGAGCTGGGCCCTGCTGACACTTTGCTTCACTGCTGAGACAGGAAGTGTCTGATGTTCTTGGCACCTAGTTGACCCTGGGACGGTAACCAAGGCTGTCTGATGGCTGTCCTTGAGCCTCCAGTGTCATCCTCAGCATGCCACCTAAAAACCCACATCACCTTCTAGAAGCCACGTCTATGGCCAGGGCTGGTGTGATGCCCTCCTATTCTTAAGTCTGTGGCCTGCCACTGCCCAGATTTCCCAAAGAATCCACTGTCACGAGTAGCAAGGAAAGGTGTGCACGCAGAGGCATTTCCAAGATTTATGTTATGGCAACAAACCAAGGAAATACCGTAAGTGGTCACCCAGCATAAACCAGAACTTGTACTGCCTCCACACGTGGTCACCCGGCATAAACCAGGACTTATACTGCCTCCACAAGTGGTCACCCGGCATAAACCAGAACTTGTACTGCCTCCACACGTGGTCACCCTGGCATAAACTCCACAGTCCCCAGCTGTGGTCAGGCACATTTCCGGGGGCAGTGACAGGAAGGAGGGCCATGGAAGGGAGAGTGGCCATACCTGCTGAGTCCAACCAGTCAGCAGCACTAGATCCCATGAACTTCTGGCTCAAGATTTCAGGATAGGCCTCCAGAAAGTCCACCGTCTTCAGAGGGCTTGTGAAGCGAACGCCATCTAGAGTGCACACTCCTGTGACTTCAGAGAAAGTTGGAACCCAACCCACACAGAGCCTGCCTGGCCAGTTGCTCTGTCTTTAACTAGATGCTCCACCTGCCTGACCTGCACCTGGAGAGCTGCTCTGTCACCAGATGGCACCCTCGTTCTGCAGATGGGCCATCTTGACTTTTGCTTTTGTTTTTGAGACAGGTTCTTGCTATATGGCCCAGACTAGCCTCTAACTTGATATCCTCCTGCCCTGACCTCCCAAGTGCTAAGACTACAGGATTGGACTGTGCCACCAAGCCTGTCCAGAGGGAGCATCTGAACACAGGCAGGAACGTCATGGCGAGAAGAGCCGATCTGAACCTCCCACGGGAGGGGCGGCAGTGCCTACCTTGGGGCTGGCGCTCCAGGAAGCTGAGCAGGTAGTTGCTGGTCTGTTGCAGCAGCACATTGTTGTCGCCTTCGTAGGTGCAGTTTGGATCGTTGTCGTTTCTGAGGTCACCCAGCCGATTCACTGCAAGAAAGCCACTGCATCACTCCAGACTCTGTTCTGGGAGATGTTCACCCATGGCCCACCCAGCCTAAGGGGAGAAAGTGCTCCCCTCCCTGCCCCCTTAGCCCTACCATGTAGGCCATGCCTCTATACCATCCACTGAAGGGACTAGAAGGGATGGCACATGGGGCACTCAGCACAGGGCTGTAACTCTTCTGCCTGTTGGAATCACCTGCACGGTCACCTGGCAGAGCTATCCCAGGGTATGGGGACCACCGAGAGATGGGACATTCCCAAGGGCACTGACTCCAGGGCTACTTTTTTCCTGCAGGTAAATGAAATCTTTTAAAACTAATTTCCCAGTCTGAGTAAATAGGTTAGCTGAAAACCTGCCCTGTGAACAGCTCAGGGCCTGTGTGCCCTTCACAAGGGGTACAGTCCAGAATCAGCTTCTTGGCTCTGCCTCTCTGATGGAGAATGAATACTCTCTGTGAGGGAGATGGAGGAGCCAGGAGGGAGAGCTTGGCCCAGCCCAGCCCTCCACGTTACAGCTAGCATACGAGACAAAGGGCTGGGAGAGACCTTGGGGGAGATGGACAGCTGATATTTTAACGGAGATGCGGCCCTTTATGTCCTTGTTGACTGGTTTCCCATCTGACCTAGTCAGTGCTTGTCAGTCATGAACTGGGATCCACTCCTATTTGCCTCTGCAGTACTTCGAGATTTAATTTACCTTTTCCCATTTAAAACTAGAACAAAGGTAAACTATTTAGTGTTTCTATGAGCTACGCAACAAACAAAATCTAAGACCATTGCAGAGAGGACAAAAATGTGTAAACAAATGGTTAGCTGCATGTCAGTGTGCCACAGCGTGGAAGAGGACCAGGCTCCTGTGCAGCTGGGACAGGCGACCCAGAGCATCGCTGTCCACAGGAGCTAAATCACCTGTGTGGTCGGCTGAGGGCTGGCAGTTCTGTTGTGTCTGCAGCAGCAGCATGCGGCCAGTTTGCACTGATCAGCCTATGATGCAAGCAGCAGCAGTTCTGCAGGCCGGTGGCAGAGGTCGAAGGTCACAGTAAGGACTCTAACTTAAGAGTAGGCAAGCAAGTGTGACCGGGTTCCCTGCAGGCCAGAACCTCTGCCGCTAACGATTCATCTGAACTATCATGTTCCTTCCAAGAACCTCAGTCCCATGTGTATGAACCTTCTAACAAGGATGCCGAGTGAGGCACAGTGAGAACACCCTGCCCAGTTACCGTGGAGACCACACCAGGCTCTGGCTGGGCCAGCTGGTGATTCACTCACAGTCATGAACTCGCTGCCTACATAATGCTCAAAGTCAATAAAACTCTTCTTAGTCCAAGTTTCAGAATTACAGTGAAACTGGTGTCAGTTACCTACCAAGTCATCAGCCAAACGTCACAACTGAAGAGATAATCTGCTTTCTACTCAGCTGCATCCTGGGCTCATATACACTTCATACTTCCTCATTATCCTGAATTTGATCAGGAAGCACCAAGCCAAAGTACTGGGGGCTGTCTAGAGCAGGGGCTGGTGAACTTGTCCCGTAACAGGCCCTAGGGTAAATAATCCAGGCTTTGTGAGCCACATCATGTACTGTGATGACTCAGCACTTGCCACTATAGTGTGGAAACAGCCAGAGAAAGCTGTGAAGGCATGGGCAAGGCTGTATTCCAATAAAACTTTATTTATAAAAGCAGTCTGCACACTGATGAACCCTGACCTAGCATCCCATGGGAGGGCTGAGGGCAGGAAATGGACGCACACTTTTTGCAAACCTACTAGCCAGATAGCCATGTCCCCCGCACGCCTCGCGGCTCTCCTGGATTCCCTGCTGGGCCGTCCAGGAGGCCAGAGGCTTGCCAGCGGATGCCAGCGCATGGATCTCACGTCCAAGCTCTGCCTGTGGAAGAGAAGTCAGTGAGAAGATTGACTCTGACAATGAAATCAGGCCCCAGCTCAGCACTCGTGTCAAAAACTGTCTCCTACTCCCACATGACAGTTACAGAAAAGAGACCCAGTTCCAATGGAAAGGGGGTTGGAATCCATCCAATAGAGACGCTGTGCTCCAGCTTACTGCTTCACAGCACAGAAAGAAAAGACACAGCACTGTGCAGCAAGTACATCTCAGAGGCCCATGGCAGGCACAGACTGCTGGAGAACACCAAGTTCACTGTGCATGGTGAACCATCACTGCTGAAGGCTGAGAATGTTTCTGGTAAGGACCTTAAAGCAAGGGACAGCATGCAGCCTGCTGAGGAGAGGAGGGCCGGAGACAGCATGTCACGCAGGTGTGGGGTGGTGGCTGGCAGCATGGGCATTCACTAGGCCTTCCTTCCTGTGGCTTATACCTGCTTGGTAAGCACCTCTGGTTTCTGTTTGATAGAGCACAACACCTGCTGGCAGTTTCAGCTCAGATAAGGAGAGCTCTTCAGCTCTTAGTGTGCCCAGCTGGGTTAGACTCCTGACTTTCAGGAAACACAAATTGGAGAACAACTTTGGCAGGTGGGAGTTACAGACTTGCCAGGAAGCACAGTGACCGGCAGGAGGCTATAGACTCTCACTAGGGAAGCGGGAAGCATGGTGACCCCTCAGCCGAGCTATTCCTCTGCAGGGAACCCTGCTGGCAGGGTCAGCATGTATATGGGTCCACCTCTTGCTCCTGGTCTGTGCTGTGCATCTCAAGGCTGCTCATCTGTCAGCATTTCATGGTGGTGTGCGCAGTCCCATCTCAGGCTGCTCATCTAACAGGTGTTCCATGGTGCTGTGCGCAGTCCTGTCTCAAGCTGCTCATCTGACAGGCTTTCCATGGTGCTGTGCACAGTCCCGTCTTGGGCTGCTCATCTGACAGGCATTCCATGGTGCTGTGGCAGTCCTGTCTTGGGCTGCTCATCTGACAGGCGTTCCATGGTACTGAGCACAGTCCCGTCTCGGGCTGCTCATATGACAGGCATTCCATGGTGCTGTGCGCAGTCCCCTCTTGGGCTGCTCATCTGACAATGTTCCATGGTGCTGTGAGCAGTCCCCTCTTGGGCTGCTCATCTGACAATGTTCCATGGTGCTGTGAGCAGTCCCGCCAGCAGCACTTGTGATTTACTTCCAAGCATTTTGATTCTTTTGATTCACATCCGACTCTCACACAGGAGGCAGCATGAGGAGAGACCAATCATAACCCATCTACATAGACACTAACAAGGGACTTCCCTGCACACAGCAGCTGACCCAGGAGATCCATACGCTTGCTCCTGGCACAAATCCTGGGCTGTCAACTTCGCTGGAATGGGACCTCGATACAGCTGTTTATGAAAGGACAGGGCCCTGAAATCCTCTGAAGGGCTGGTAATGTGGACTCTGTAAAACCATCACATTTTCAGGGAATAGCAGCTGAACTCACAGATGGGAGTTAGGCTCTGTCAGCACATCCTTGAAAAATGGGATGATGGGCTCAGCCCAAGCTCCGAGTTGCTGAGCAAGCCAAGCCCCGAGCGGGTGGAGAGGCAGGAGTGCGCAGCTCCGCCCCACAAACCCAACTGCTTTTGTATGGACACAACTGAAACTGTTGGTGACAGTAGAGCAGATGCCTTACCTGCCTGGCACTATGGTCTCCCTGCAGCAGGCCATGCTGCAGCCCCATCAGGTCCAGGAAAAGCGACTTGGAGAAGTGGTCCAAGGCATAGGCAGCCGCCAGGTACGGCAGTAGGCGCCATTGCTAAGGAAACAAGATATATGGGTCCTCAGAAGGGCTGGCCCATTGAATACTCAACCTCAGTGACCATGGGAACCTGGCGTCAGCCTGCTTGGGAATGAAGGAAAGCACTACTGGTACCAGTTCAGCCCAGTACAGGCACATCCTGAGTCTATGAAGGATAAGCAATCACTGTGGTGGGGGTAACTGAGGCTCACGCAGAGTTCCCCAGTGCACACCAGGCACCCAACACAAGACAGAGTACATCCACTGCTGGATGGACAGAAGGACAGATGGATGATGGGGGAGGGGCAGGTGAAGTCTGAAGGGAACCCAGTGAGCAGCCACCACAGCTGTCCCACGTGTGCAGAGTGCCAAACACTGTACCTACCACTTGCTCCCACGTGCCAACCATCTAAGCCCTACTTGGCCCAGGAAGCAGCAGCACCAGGAGGCCCTGGGATAGAGCTCCCTAAGCACAGGCTGCCCTTGGCATCCAGGGCAGGCGACATGCTAGGCTGAGGGGAATAAGGACAGTGTGGAAGAGCACGTGGACCACCAGGCACGGCAGATACTGTGTCACTACATTCACTTCCAGTGCAGAACAGGTTCATCACCACAGAAGAAAGTTAGAGAGGCAATGCCACCCGTTTCCTCTGTCACTCTAACTCCTGTTTATACGGCGTTCAGGCCTAAGCCAGACTTGGTGACTGAGTCACCTACCTGACTCTTAGTCCCCATAAAGTAGGGTCAAAACTGCCCCTCCAGCTATAAAGGGTACCTGAACAGACACACAGCAGGGCTCCTACAGGGGGATGGCTGGGATGACGAGGCGCCCCTTTTCAACACATGGCCTCTGTGCTGTCTGGCTGCCACCTGGCACTCACCTCCAAGGACATGATGGCAGGTATCCGTCTACTGCTTTGAACACCACCGTAATGGAGGGCTGCACTCACCTGATGCTATAGAAATGATTTCCTTGGGATCATTTCTTAGGGATGCATCAGAGTGTGGCCCGGACCTAGAACCTGCTAAAGCAGTTATGACTGCCTGAAAACGCAATGCTCACACCCGCTACCAGAGCCCTGACTCGCTTCCTCCATGTGCCTCATTTTGATCAAGCATGTACCTTCTTAATTAAAAGCCACCCCAAAGGCCTTGATGGCTGGTGGGTGCACCCCTGCCCACTGTCTCACTCATGGCTGGAAAGCTTTTGCCAACTTCCAGAGGCCAAGGACAGAAAGAAGGAAGTGACTTGGACGGCCAGTACCTGCAGCGGATATTCAAGGACGGGGATCTCTTTCTCATCTGTGGGTCCAAACTGACACCGTGTGGCCGAGAACCGGACTGCTATGGACACCGCCAACTGCAGGTTGGCCACAGACATGCCGATGATGGAGATGCGCCCTGAGGACAGGCTGCCCAAGGATGCTCCAAAGCGCTGCCGGACGTCCTGGAAAAGAAAGGTGGGGTCACCTATCAGCTGAGGTGCTGAGGCTGCCTCAGAGTGGCACAATGAAGGCACAGTCCCTATTCAGTGCCGACCTGTGTCCAGGGTAGCCTGATGCCTAGACCTCCAGACACCAAACCGTGGGCACACCCAAGCTGTAGATGGTAGTCACTGAGGCACTGTGGGTAGAGGAGAGGACACCTAGTAGCCTGAAGGGAGGGAGCTCTGAGCAGAGGAAGCTCTGTGACTAAGCTCTGTACAGTCATCTCTTCTTTGGGGACATGTGAACTGTCCACCTAGAGGTACTGGGTAAGAATCAGAAGCAGCTGGGCCCCTGAATGCAAAGCGGCCCAGTCTGGGGCTTCAGCTCAGCACCCGCTGGTGCCATGTCCTCCTTTTACTCTGGCTGCGGAGCTCCTGAGGACTTGGCATTCCGTGGGGCTCAATGGATATCCTGCACCATGTTCAGGGGTGAGTGGCCTCCAGGACTTGAGGCTTCACATCCATCCTACCTTTCAGTGTGTTTGGCAGAGCCTATGCTCAGGTACTCTGGTGGCACTCTGGGACAGGAACAACCTGGTGTCCCTGCTCCGTCTCCTGCTGCTGCTCTGGGGTTTGTTGTCTGGGCTGATTCCAAAACAGCATGGTGTGTGTGGCAATCTTCCAACTGCTGCCTGCCAGGCAGGTTACTGGGGCTGAAAATGTTCAAATCCATTTTTGTTTGCAGTGTGTGCTACCTGAGAAACTGAGGCTACAGTGACTGCTATTACCCTGGAATAAGACTGGGTAACTTCCGAATCTCCTTTCTGACAATCCTATTTCTCCCTGTTTGTGAGTAGACAGCTCTTCCTCTTTGTAATGAGGGTCTTGTTAAACAAAAGTCTTCCTTCCTCCAGCTTGGGGGTATTTATCTGTATCACTTCTCTAAGCCTCACTGACTTGTGTGTGGGGGTCCTCCTGTTGGGGTGGGTGACCCATGCACTGTGTCCTCCTGACCCATGTACTGTATCCTCCTGTGGGGGTGACGCATGGCACTGCACCCTCCTGACCCATGGACCATGTCCTCCTGTGGGGGTGACCCATGCACTGTGTCCTCCTGTGGGGGTGACCCATGCACTGCGTCTTCCTGTGGGGGTGACCCATGCACTGCATCCTCCTGTTGGGGTGACCCATCTACTGTGTCCTCCTGTTGGGGTGACCCATGCACTGCGTCCTCCTGTGGGGGTGACCCATGCATGCACTGCGTCTTCCTGTGGGGGTGACCCATGCACTGCGTCCTCCTGTGGGGGTGACCCATGCACTGCGTCCTCCTGTGGGGGTGACCCATGCACTGCGTCCTCCTGTGGGGGTGACCCATGCACTGCGTCCTCCTGTGGGGGTGACCCATGCACTGCGTCCTCCTGTGGGGGTGACCCATGCACTGCGTCCTCCTGTGGGGGTGACCCATGCACTGCGTCCTCCTGTGGGGGTGACCCATGCACTGCGTCCTCCTGTGGGGGTGACCCATGCACTGCGTCCTCCTGTGGGGGTGACCCATGCACTGCGTCCTCCTGTGGGGGTGACCCATGCACTGCGTCCTCCTGTGGGGGTGACCCATGCATGCACTGCGTCTTCCTGTGGGGGTGACCCATGCACTGCGTCCTCCTGTGGGGGTGCCCCATGCATTGGTCTTTCCAATTTTCCCACTTGATGGTCATTTTTAATTGGCTGCTTTCACATGCTCTGTCTTAGATGGCTTCTTGCCTTGGGATGCTAATTTCTCTCAAGTAACTTTGCTGCACTCATTCTTGCTCTCCCTCCAGGCGGAAGGTGAGTTGTCTGGGGAGAGTTGTTCTTCCTGGAGACTCTGTTCTCAGGGTCAGCTGTCTGCTGGTGAGATCACCATTTCCCAGGCCATTGACTGCCCCATGGTCCATCTCCATCGAGGGCCACATGGCATCACGGCTACTTTCAGTGTACACAGACAGCCCTGCTGGTCACCCCTGTGCACAGCTCTCCAGGTGACTTTCCCCCTGGATACTCCCGGAGAATAGTCCTCTAACTGGAAACCAGATAGATGTGGACACCTAATGACAGCCAGTAACTGCAGGCAGATCTATGTCGTGCCTGCCTAGCAGCACTGTAGCTGAGTCCGTTCTCTGCAGAGGGCACTGGGACCCAACCAAGAGAGCTGGAGTACCTGGGCCCAGCCACTTCTGAAGGGTGAAGCCTCCGTCCCTGCACTGTGGGGAAAGATGGCCAGGAAGCCCTGTCCACAAATGCCCAGCCACCTGTACCTTAAAGGGGGTGATGTAAGCACCCTCAGGGGTGACGTCTCCAGTTCGGTTCAGGAGGTTCTGGCGAGGAATTCTAACCTTATGGAACATGGCGAATCTGTGTGGGAGAAAAGTGGGCTTCCATTATGCAAGACCTCCAAGATCCTGTCACATGGCTCCTAGCCTTTTCTCCTCTCTCCAAGCCCAGCTGAAGGTGACAAAGGCCCTCAGAACATGTGTGATGGGGCTGTCCATCGAGGCCCAGTCCCCCTCCCCCAGGACAAGAGAAGAGAAGCTCCATACCCATCACCTGCATACCCATCACCCGCACATCCATCACCTGGCTGCCAGCCACCTACACACAGTAAAGGACACACACCACTGACAGAAGGCTAAGAGCTGGCTCTAAAGACAGGCATGTCTGGTTTTTAGACTTTAGAATCCCTAGTACAGTAGGAAGTTTTAAATGGAAGTTTTAAAATGCTCAATCAAAACAAAAAGCCTGAGGTCTGGTCCTATGCTCAGCAACTGTGAGCTGAGAAAAGAATCTGACAGGCATTTGTTATGGACCACCCGTACTAACAACTGAAGACATTTTACAATAGTTTAGAGAGAGGTAATATGGCTGGGTGTGGTGGTGAATGCCTTTGATGTCTCAGCATACAGGAGGCAGAGGTAGACAGATCTCTGTGAGAGTCCAGCCTGGTCTACGTAGTGAGTTCTAAGCCAGCTGGGGCTCCAGAGAAGATCTGGTGTCAAAAAGACCAAAAAAAAAAACAAACAAACAAACAAAAAAAACCACATCTTTTATAAGAGAGCTTATGCAAAGTTATATATATTATATAAATTATGCAAAGTAAAACACAGTCCAAAATATCAATGGTTCCTATAGCAACACATCTGATGACTAAGATACTACGCATTGTGAGACATCTTCAAAACCCCTCAAAGGCCCTCCTCAGTCACTAGCAACTGCCTGTGCTGGGGAGGGGCTGGCCTGCTGCTCCTTGCTCACATCTGACCTCCTTTAGTTCCTACCTGGGGAGGGCCTTGCCCCACTGGAGCTACCTCCATCAAACAGCAGGAGCAGGAACCCCACATGAGATCCCCACACTCCTGACACATCCACCTGGCCAAGCTGCTGACCTGTGGCCCTCCCTGCCTCTTCCCTGAGTATCCCTCATAGTGCAGGGAGTGGCCTCCTCCTTCAGGAAGTCCATACGATTCTCCACCCCATCATGCAGGGGTTGCAAGGCAGACCCTCTCCAGGACACCAAAGGGTGGTTCTGCTCAGGGTAACCGTTAGGCCATCCCTGTTCCCTCAGGAACCAGCTTCTTGCAGCAGATTCCTGGAGTTCAGACATGCTTTTGTTACAGCCCCACAGCACCTGGCCCCTACCAGACCCTTGGTGGCATGGAACAGAGGCAGCGGAGTGGGTGAAGGATCCATCCACTAAAGCCAAAGATCCTGTCCCAGGAAGACACCAAAGACCCTCCCAGTACCCAGCACGACAGGGACAAGCCCCCTAACAGCACACCCAGGCCACTAGAACATCTGTGGGTGGCCGCTTGGCCTGCACCCAGCCTGCTGCCACCCACACACTGCCCCACTTTGAAGAAAACCCAGTCTCAGTGCCAAGAGTGAGGTGCTCCAGCTATGTGCTTGAAAGCCAACGGCTACTTTTCAAGCACGACTCTAAACAGCACGCTTTTTAAGGAGTGGAAAATCCTCACCCTGTCCTGCCCTAGAGATAGAACGAATCTGAACACATTTGTGTTTGTGAAGTCCCCACTCCAGATGAACTGAAAGTGAAATTCTCTTTAGGTCACTTCTGCACCCCAGACACAGACAGATGGAGCCACCTGGTAAGCGAAGGCATGCCAGGATCAGAGTCTCCAGAGGGCAGAGGATGTGTGCACAGTAGAATATGACAGTGTGACACAGGAAACGTGACACAAGGTTTATGTGTGCACAAGTGTGGCATAGGATGTGTATGAAACAGGCATGGGGACACTCAGAGAGGGGTGTGTGTGAAGGACACAGGACAGTGACATGGAGCGCATGGTGAGGGGTTAAGAGGGCTCAGGTATGTGTGGGGGTTGGAGTGTGTAAATGATATTCAACTTAGGGGGCATGATGTGTGAGGGGGATAGGGAGGTACATGTGTATGGGTGTATGTGTGAAGGACACAGGACAGTGATGTGGGGCATGTGTATAGCACAGGGCATGTGGTATGTATGAAATGTGTGGGGAGAGGGTCTGGAGAAGGTACATGTATGGCAGGACGTGTTGTAAGTATGGCGAGTACCTGTAGCCCCCTTGAGGGTTTGGCTGAAAGTGTCCCTTAGAACGATCTATGTTATTAGACTGCTTGGCTGAGACCAAGGCCAGCAGTTCCTCGGCCTCCAACTCTTGGGCAGTCATGACATTGGGGAGTCTCATGAGAGGACAAAAGTTAACTTAGAAACTGTCACCACATCTTTCACAATGCATGGTCTTGAAATGAGTTTAAAACACGAGCTAATGCTACTGCTCCCCAAGCTGAGGCAGAACCCCAGCAGAGAAGCCACTCTGCTCTGGAGCCCTGGTGCCCTCTGCTGGTGGCCTGTGGTCAGGGCGGACAGGAAGCTAAAAGGGCAGTTAACTCTTCCAAGGACCCAGGGGGGCCTCCTCCTGTCACCAAGTCTTGAGAGAAGTCACCACAGGCCACTGGGCTGGAGCCTTTGCTCTGCCAGAACTGTCTGTCAGGCTGTCATCAGAGCATGCGCATGGTGACTCCCAGGTGTGGTTCTGGGCCTCAGAGGAGCCTCTGCCACACCTACGTGCTAGGTCTACTATAATGTCTGACTTGGTGTCCATGGAACACTTCCTAGGAAGAGACCATTCACCTCTGGAACAGGAGCTGCTGCGAGGTCAGGTACAGGTTTTCCGAGATGCTCTGAAATTACTTTAAAGGCTCTAATCTATACTGTAGGATGAGCAGCCAACAGAGGTCCCGAGGCCCCACCCTTTGCACGTGACAACTCACCCCCAGCCCAAGCAGAAGACACCTGTCAGGCTGTGCACACAGAGCCCTCAACAGAGGGCCTGACAGTGACTTCTGAGCCCTGTGCTTTTTCCTCAGGCTTACGTCACTAGGAATCAGGGCTGCCAGCCCTCTCTACAGTCTGCTGTCGACCTGTAGGCCCAGGAGACCTGAGCATAGTCCCGAGGCCCGCCTCTCTCCTGACCCAGCCTTCTGGAGAGGGGCAGACAGAAGAGTGTCTCCAGGATGGCCTTGAGAAGCACCTGGCCCAGCTTGGTTTTTTCTCTCTCTGGAGGGGGCTAGTTAGCTGTGATCAGCCATGGCAGTTGCTGGAGGTGACTCGCTGAGAGTCACACAGAGCAGAAGGGAGGCAAATGCTCCTGACCCAGCAGAGGTTGCATGGCTTGGGGACACTCTGTTTCAGCCTCTTCTTCTATAGTCACGTTATCTCATGGGCCGAGAGGAGTCAAAGTGCACAGGCCAGGCCTCCTGGAACTGGGTAGAGCCCATGCACAGCAAGACATGTGAAGACAGGAGGACCCCCCACCCCCGGCCCCGGTTGCTCAGCAGGACCCCTTGAGGCACAGGCATGGAAGCCAGTGAGAAAATAGTGAAAATGACAGAGCCCCGCCCTGTTTCTGCTGCCAATGTGGGGAGCAGAGAACAATACTCAGCAATACTCCCGAGACTCCTCAGGGGCTAGCCTCACCACACTGTCCCTCCACCTGGAACACTGTCCAGCCCAAACCATCTGGACACTCTACTGACCTTGGGGCCTCAGCCTGGTTATGGAGAATCAGCTAAGGTCCTTCTAGACTTCACCTTGATCCAGGGTCTTTACTCCCTTTTGAAGCACTCAGGGCATACGCCACAACCTATCAAGCCTGCTTCCCATCTGCGCTAGAGCAGGAGCCAAAAGCATCCCTCATTCAGCACTATCTGTCCAGCATTTAGCCAGTTATTCCACAGGGACTCTACATGGATATCCACAGTAGATTAAGCAGTGGACAGCTAAGGCCAAGTATCAAGAGACCTTACAGGGGAAGGCAGGTCCTACATAGCCTGGCACACCTGGCCTGAGGTCCCAGCCCAATGTGGTCTTTAGGAGGGCCACACTCTGGGAAGCTGGCCCACAGAATGCCAGGGCAGGCTGGACCTCTGGCACACTGACACAACTGCTGTTGAAGAGGGGAGATGTTGTTACCCACCACATCTGAGCCAGGTCCCCGGAAGCCTGCATTCCTGGTGAGTACTGCACTGACAGCAGGCCCCAGCCTGCCACTCATGAACAATCTCAGGGCCTGGGGGTGGGGGAGCCACAGGTGTCCAGTGAGGCCAGCGACACTCACCCATTGTCCAGGCCATTCTGCCCCAGTTTCTTCCCCATGTCACCGACTATCACCCCCGGCATAGGAAGCAGGGTCTTTGGGTCCCGAATCTGCACAAAGTCACGGGAACAAATGGCCAGTTAGGATCTCAGCAGAGTCAAGATGGGTGTGCTCAGATGATGTGATGTCTGACTGGAGGTGGCTCTGAGTATCTATCGGCCATCCTGTGTCTCTAAGGAGTGATGCGTCCAGATCTGGGGATGTGATCTTTTGTGGAAAGAGTCTCTGATGCTGCAATGAGATAAGTATCTCAGTGTGAGATCACCCTGGATTCCCTGGTGGGCCCCTACCTCCACGTCAAGCATCCTTATGAGAGACAAATGGGGTCAGATGCACAGAGAGGCTGTATGGAGATGAGGCAGAGGCTGGCGCGGTGTAGCGGCTGGCCAAGGAAGTCAGGAACTGAGGGAGGCAGGAAGGCTGGGAGTGGTGAGTAGGGAGCTCTTCCAGCCTTCAAAGTAGTATACCGACTCCTGACTCTAGTCTCCAAGTCCAATGGCTCTGTCTTAACCCTGGCTGTGGTGTGTCGCTGTACCAGCCATAAGACAGGTCAGATGCCTACATTACTTGGGGGGTTCTAAGGCATCCCATGCAGGTCTTGACAGAGGACCTCCAGTAGAGTTCCAACAGAGATAAAATGGCTGTGCACACATGTGCTGTGGAAGAGACAGCCAACACCACTGTGGTAAACCTCACTCCCTCAATGGGTGCTCATCAAACACACTTCCTAAAGGAATTCTGACCCAGCTAGCTTCCAATTCCTGACCTAGGGCTCTATGGAAAGGACACAGGATTGATTCCACCTAAAGCAGGGGCTGCCAGCCAGCAGAGGATCTGATACCTTCCCTCCCTTCAAGGAGATGGGTGGCAATGTCTAGAGATGCTGCTGTCCTAAATAAGACCAACTAGCATGTAGCAGAGGAGACCATGGCCACCTCAACCCCCCCAGAAAACAGGGGACACCAGCCAGAATGACCCAGTCTGGGAACCAGAGGCACCTAGAGGGAGACACCATGCTCTGAAGATGTATGGAAGCTGGAAGCACAGCCCAGGGTGTGGGCTTAGCGTGTGGGAGGCCCTGAGTCCAACCCCCAGAACTGAGAGGGAGAGACAAGGAGAGACAAGGAGAGGAGAGAGGAAGGAGGCAGGAAGAGAGGGAGGATGAGGGAAGAGGGTGAGTTGCCCGAATCCATACCATTTGGAACTTGGCTGTTTATAAGAACCACCAGCTCTTATTCTGTCAATCTGGTTTAATTGAACTTTAAAGATATCTAAAAACAACTTTTTAAAGGCCAAAACCCAAACATAAGGCATCTTTGAACTTTCTGAAGTCTTTCAGTAAAGCTCAGTAAAGATTCTTTTTGCTCTTTCTTTGTTTTGTTTTGCTTTATTTTTTGAGACAGGGTCTCCTGGTAGTCCCAGCTGGTCTAGAACTTGCTATGTAGATCAGATTGGCTTTAATCTCACAGAAATCCTCCTGCCTCTGCCTCCAGAGTTCTGGGATTAAATGTGTATGCCACCAAACCAGGTGGCGGCGCATGCCTTTAATTCCAGCACTCAGGAGGCAGAAGCAGGAGGATCTCTGTGAGTTCAAGGCCAGCCTGGTCTACATAGCGAGAGCCTGGTCTACATAGCAAGCTCCAGACCAGTTGGGGCTACAGGGAGACCCTCTCTCAAATAGACGGAAAAAAAAAAAAAAAAAAAAAAAAAAAGGGTATATGCCACTATACCAAGCTCAGACACAAGCTTTTTAAAACCTTTTCAAACAAATGCCTAAAAACGAACAGCTGACAAGACTCAGACACAGACAGAAAGTGTGGTGGTTCGGATCTTAAATGGCCCCTGAAGGCAATATGTAGAAGGTGAGGATGCCAGCCCATGGCGCTGTGAGGAGGGGGGCCTGGTGGGAGGAAATCAGGATGTGAGCGTGTGTTTCTGAAGGGGCTGCTGAGGCCCTTGGCTTCCTGCCTCACTCACTGTTTCCTGGTACTATGAGGTAGGCAGCTCAGTCTGCTGTGCTCCCCCCAGGACACCTGGGCTGCCACAGGCCTGAAAAAGCACGCATGCCAGGTGAGCATGGGCTGCCACTCAGAAACCGGAGCTAGAATAAACCTTCCTCCTCTGAAGCCATTATGTTGGTGTTTTCTCACAGCCACAGAAAGCTAACACAGGAGGAGAGGTGGACAGGGCAAAAAATAGTTGGTGCTTTTCAAACAATCAAACATAATACACCACTAGTGCCAATTCTTTTTTTTGTTTTGTTTTGTTTTGTTTTTGTTTGAGATAGGGTCTCCCTATAGCCCCAGCTGGCCTGGAACTCACTATGTAGACCAGGCTGGCCTTGAACTCACAGAGATCCACCTGCCTCTGCCTCCCGAGTGCTGGGATTAAAGGCGTGCGCCACCACGCCTGGCCCTTAGTGCCAGTTCTAATTCACCAGAAACAAATGACAAAGCACCTATGGGCGTCCTCTTTTGTGAACCAGGGAAAGAATTTGCAGAGATAGTTAAGGTCAAGCTTAACTCACAAATAATCGTGCTCCATTCCCCATGATACTTCTAAGAATGTCAACCTAAGGATGAGGAGCGTGAACATCATTCCAACTCATGCCCCGGGGATTGCCTGCTCCTCTCCCTGACAATCAGTCAGTCCCAGAGGGCAGCACAGATCCTGCTAAGGATAGAGGCACTGCTGAAGGGAGGAAGGCACCACCAAGGTCTTCTTGTTGATTCTGACTTTTGAGATGGACTCTCACTGCACAGCCCAGACTGGCCTCAAACGCAGGATCCTGCCTTACCTCTGCATCTTGGGATTATAGGCAGGCACCACCATGCCAGGCCTGCCAAATATTTTTAGCCTCGCTCCTAAGAGTCTCTAGCAGCATTGTGGGCCTGTGGTCTGAAAGTGAGCACACTGCGTGTTGACTTACAGCATGGGTGTGTTCCACAGGAGTACAGGTCTGTGCAGATGGCCACAGGGGACTGCCTACCATGCTGGTCCCATAAGGGTCCTACCTGCACCAGGAAGGAATGCAGCCCGTGGCACTGACCACCCGGCATGTGCAGCTGGGCAAACACCACCGCATGCGTTGCCGTCTTGCCCATGTTGCCAACCCAAAATTTGGCAGCCTCAAAATCCGGGGAATGTATGACAAACTCCTAAGGAAGAAACAAGTATTATAATCAGTGACTGGGACACAGGATGGCTTTCCCTCTTCAACAGATCAGCTTCCTATGTACGATCAAAGTCTGAGCCAACAGTCAGAATGGATATTATTTCCTGTATGGGCCAAGCTGACCTTATTTTTGAAACAGCATACTCAAGATCACCTGGCTTACAGAGGAAACAGAATGACGCTCAGTCTTTCAAACAATGAACTGCTGGCTGGCACAATGGGCTGCGCTCTTGAAGTAAATGCCTTTTTTACTTCTTGCCACATCCCCTCCTGACTTCCATCAAATGAAGCCCATTTTTCTTGTGTTGCTCTCAATCTATGAACTCCTCCACGGAGGATCATCTGTGAACACCTAGGAGACACAGCTACAGGAAAGAACTCTGGGACAGCAAGAGGCATAAACTGGTCACTGAACTAGGACAACCCCCCTCTTGGGACACAATGGAGCACAAGGCCATAAGACAGCAGGCCAGCCGGAGGAAAGGGACTTGGAGCCAGGGCTACTGTGCCTGGCCCAGGGCACTGTAGCCACTGGGAACTTGCAAGATGAGTGGACCCTCAAAGTAGTTCTGCTTGATGGCATCCAAAGAATGGTGCAAGATGAGGATCTGGCCTAGACTACCTGCAGCTGATCACCTCCATGCTAGTCAGTGACTGGCAGGGATGCCTGAAGCAATTCCTGATTCTGTTGGCACCCTCCAGTAAAAGAGGAGGGGACTGTAAACATGCACCGAGAGCTCCTCCTCTCACCCAGCAGACAGTACTTGAAGTACTGTAAGGTGCTGGGTGAGCAGCCTGGAGACAGTCTTGAAGTTCCACTGGGGAAAGGGGGGCAGGGTACTGTTCTAAGGAAGATCCACTGGCTCTTGGTCTATGGGACTAGAGGGTATCCCACCTTCAGCTGGGCTGGGTTCTCTTCAGCACCAGCAGCTGAAAGTGCAGGTGAGCAGGTTCACGGCCCACCCTGTCCAGCTATCTCAGGCCCTACATCCCCCACCCGCCCCCATTTACCCTGAAGGTCTTCCCAAAGTCACCACCAGAGGCCACATGGATCTTCACCAGCTGTCACCACAGCTGCCCTCTCTATACTCTCATCCTCACAATGGTGTCTGGTCCCCTCCCTTTGGCACCCATCTTCCCTCATGGCCAAGACAGGTCCACTGGGCTCACAGGCTATCCATTCAGTCTGGTGGCTGCATCTAGCACCCAGCAGCCCTGAAGACATCTGTCATCCAGACACAGGGCAGTCAGGTGCAGAGCATCTGACACCACACTGCCATATGTACTTGAAGCCCAGAGGCCAGGAAAAAGTAGGTGGCGGCAGGAACTGCCTCATAGCCCAAGACACTGCCCTGAACCTGCAGCAGCCGTATGGCACCGTCCTCAACTGCCAGTCAGAATGGGCTTCCCACCAAATCCTGTGGAGCCACAGGCACTGGAATACAGTGAAAAGAGACAGGGCCAAGGAGTCAGAAAGACCAAGAGGCTCAAGAAACCATGGGGGCCAGGTGCTAGCAACGAGCACAGCCTGCACTGCTGAGCAGTGGTCCCTCTCTTACTTGTCCCACCCTGATAGGCCATGCACAGTGTGGGGCCGTGCACAGTGTGGGGCTGTGCATAGTGTGATCCTGTCTATTTTTACCACACGGCAGCCCAGGTCAGAGGCCACAGAAATGTTAATAAATAAGCAAGTGGACAGTAAGCAAACACCACCAAGCTTCAATTTCTGTCTGCATTCCCTTTCCATCACACCCCAGTTCGTGAAAGCGGCAGCAGAACACGGTCCTCAGGTGAGTGGAAGAAGGAGGCTCCATACCCTATGCAGCACTGACCACTCCTAAACATGAGGCCAACCTCCCTCCCACCCTGCAAACTGCGGGCTCCCAGAGAGCAGGAGTGACCTATCCCCACAGTACCTCCCTGCAGAGGGCAGTGTCTACACACAGCAGGGCACAGCAATGTTCTGGGCAATGTCCAGCAACACATGGTCACAAAGATGCCAGGTGGCTGGCAGGGAACAGAGGAGCCAGGTGGCGATGGACAGAGCGGGGTAAAAGGTCTGTGAACAGGTGGGCACAGAAGGCATCAGGGCTGGGGTTGGAAAGAATGATTCTCCCCTAGGACACCTCACAGAGCACAAGCCACCTGATTCTCTATATGCCCCATCACTGCTCATAACAAAGTCTACAAAACAATGGCCTCCACCTGGCACCGCAGGAACACGTAAGCCAGGCTGGTGGATGATACCATGCTGTGCAGGGAGGGCCAAGGCGCCCCACCTCAGCACAGGCATACTTTCAGGGGCCTCTGCCGAGGGAACACGGCAGCACTCTAGACTAATAACTGCTTGCTCAGGACATTTCCTCCGCTCCACCCCAGAGCCTAGGGTGGAGGAAATACAGCACCTACCTCAGTAGCAGGATCGTAGTGAGCTGTTGTTCGTATAGCCTTGGTGTTACTCCCATGACTCAGTTCAGTCAGAGCAAAACAGCCAAAAATCTAAATGTTGAAGCACAAAGCGATGCCAGGTGAGGGATGCTCTCAGTGCACCTTCTTATAGGGGTCCTGCCACCATCAGCCCTTGAAGGAGCAAGCCATGGACCAGTCACGCCTCCACGTGTTGAGTAACCAGATGACGGCTTGACTGAGTCACCCTGGCGGCCTCTATACCACTCCTACCCGCTGGCAGCGGCCTATGTCACCTAGTGACATACAGTCAGAGGAAGCCACCGGGGGCTTCATTCAGACAAGAAGCTAAGTCCACACAGGCTAAGGGCCAGTATGTCCAGTGGGTAAGGAAGAGTGCCAGGTGCTTGGATAAGGAGGGCCTGGCCTCCTGGGCCTCTCCTGTGGCCTGCCTCCTCCATGGTTCTCTCAGTATGGTGACCGCACTGGGCTGAGCTCAGCCTCAACCTTACCTCCATGCTATATATCTTCTCAATGTATGCGAGATGCCGCTCAGACCCAGAGTTGAAGACTGTTGATCCAAAAACCTGCAATGTAATAGATGGTCGGTAGGGCAGGCACTGTTGCTTGAGGTCTGCTGCTGCAGCACATGTAACAACCGCCCCACACACTCCTCATCCCACTTCTTCCTATAGGACTGTGAATTCTGCAGTACTGCATTTTATCCAAGAACCTACAGGTACAAATTTGCATAGAGCACTGAGAATCTGGACTTATCACCACATTCTAGGAACCATGTGGCCGTGGTCGTGTCTCTGATGCTGCCTGGCCCTGTGGATATGGGCTCCCGACTCACTGCTGCAGACTCACCAGCACATGGAGGACGCATTTGTTGGCCAGGGACCAGTCGTACATGCCCAGGCAGTTAATCAATGCTGGGACCCTCAGGGGGTTCTCCCACAGGTCCTCCATAGTGAAAAAGCCGTACTCAAAGACCCGCTTGCAGCGGAGGAAGTTCAGTTCCCGGTACTTCTCCAGAGACAGATCGGCCCCATGTGAACGGGCGAAGAGGGGGTCATTCTCCAAAGCTGAGAAGATGGTTTTCTACAAGCACAGGTCACAGGATGCTGACTTAGAAGCAAAGGCTTATGTGTATGTTCTTATGGCTCCACTCAGGGCCACAGCTGCCTGGGGCCTGGTCTGACCCAGAATCCCGAGATGAAGAACATCAGGCTCAGCTGAGAGGATGGGGCTGGGGACTTCAGAACCCAATCTGTGTCCACCCCCTCCCCAACCCCCCACATCCTGTGGCCCATATTGAGGTGAGAGGAGACAGGCCCATGCTGGCCTAAGAGCCAACCCAGAGCAGATCTAGCCAGGGGGGCCATGGGCTTCCATGTTTCAAAGTCATTTCTGTCAGTAACAAAGATGCTCCTGGGCTTCATGGGGACCTCACCTTGAAGCGGAGCACGTCCTCGCCTTCCCAGAAGAGCAGCAGCTCCCTGTAGCTGAAGGAGGCTCTTGCTCGGTAGGTGCTAAGGGGGCCCCTGGGCACATCTGGCCACAGAACATTGTTTCTTCCTTCTGGTGTGGGTGTCATGGTGTGATGTCAACCTGCACAGAGTAGCAAATCTGCATGATGTCATCTGAACAGCCACGCCATGCTGCAATAAGCCAGTGGCTCCAAAGCAGGGGCAGGAGGAGGGAGCATGGCGGCACTCGTGCCTGGCTGTACTCCTGAACAGGGTAGTGCGGACACAAGGTAGAGCTGGGCCATCTGGGGCTAGAGCAGAGGTCAAGGAAAAAAGACTGGGACAAACCTGGTGGCCATGGACAGTCCAGGGTACACTAGGGCTCAGTCTCCTGCTGCCACCACCTTCCTGAGGACACTCTGATCTCCAGGATACCAAGGAAGTCTGGGTTCTTTAAGGGCTACTAGGTCCAGGGCCAGGGAGCTGCCCCACTGGATTCTGGCCAAAGCTGGTCAGTCTCTCCTGGCTGCTCACGGCAATATGATGCCCTTGCCCGCCTAGACATGGGCCACTGACCACAGAAGCACTGACTGCATGCAGGCTTCTGTCCTGGTCTGTACTCAACAGACAGCCCACTCACAGGGCAGGGAGGTGCTCTTCACCAAAGGACTACTCTGGAATTTTCTGGATATACTGGATCCTCTACCAGAGGTCTGATTCATCATCGCCTGGAAAGGGCTTATGACCCTGACCTACAGGAGTCAAGTCCAGGCAAGAAGACCCAGGAATCTTTCAAATCCTTTTCCACACCTGTGCAAATGGTGCAGGGTTGGACTCTACGTGGGACGGGCACAGTGTTGGTGATGATTTCCCATGTGACGGGAAAGTAGGGACATGGCAGGTCTGAGCACCTGCCCTCTGCAGAACAAATCCTACAGACCCTCCCTGCAACTCTGAGCTAACCAGGTTGTCCCCACATGAGCCAGCAAGGCTTAGAGAAGCAGAGAGGGGACAGGAAGCCAGTAGTACTACCCAAAGCAGCCATGGGGGTACCACCTGGGACTTGGGGAAGCATCAGAAACTAAACCCAAGGCCAGAGGGAGGAAGCACAGCCAGAGATGAGAGAAAGTGGCCAAGGGAGGAGAAGGAGGGGATGACAGACAGAAGCCCCAGAACACAAGCTGCATCCTTGAAAAGACCACAAGACTGGCAAACTTCCACCACCTGAGCCCAGAAAAGACAGAAAGTTCAGATTCTGATCTGAGTCTGGGGGATGTCAGGACCCATCACAAACCAGAGGCATCACAGGGGGATATGGAGGCAGGAGTTAACTCACAGTAGGCAGTAAAGGAAATGGACCCACAGAGAAAAATACAAGATGCCTATACATATCACATACATAAGTGGGAATGGATGTTGAGGAACACAAGGGTTAAAACAGTGAAGCCAGGAGCCCTGAGGGTAGAGACAAAGACACCTGCAGCTGGGTAGGAGACAAGTGATCTGGTAAGAGAAAAACAGGCAAGCCAGCTGGCTACCTTTCAAGACCTTCCTTTCCCTCAGGGATACACACTAGGCACTGCTTATCATACATTCTTGTTTTCATACACTGCTTCTAATGCAGTTAACTGAACAGACTAAGCTGTGAACAAGGACCGGTTTTAACAAGCCTGCCCCATTTTCAGTAGAGACCCGGACCTTCCCCATATACAGTACCCTATTTCAGAGACCCTATGGCCAGAGACCCTAGACTACCCCAATACACAGTGCCCCATTTCAGTAGAGACCCCAGACTGTCCCAGTGCCCCATTTCAGTAGCAATCCCAGACTGTTCCCACACATAAGACAACCAGAAACAACACTACAGCGACTTCCTGGCAGCTGTGGGAACGCAGACTAATTTAATTAGCAGCACTTGGGACACCTGCAAGGTCCCACCAAGATACCTGAGGTAATCAGCTTACTGACAACACCAGACAGTAACTAGTCGCTAGCAGATAATCAGCTTCCTTGAAAGATACAATTTCCCAAACTGGCTTATTAGTATTAGAAAACCCTGCAGTGAGTGAGGAAATTATATCACCAACCAATAAACTCCCATGAAGGAAAACAGGGCTTCAAGTGAGTTCTGCATTTAGAGAAAACCAGTACAAACTAGTCCAGAAACAGAAAAGGGAAGAACTCATTCCCACTCACTGCACAGTCCAGTTTGACTGGACGCCACACTGATCAGCAACCCAGAGACACACAGGATCCCTCAGCCCAGGATGCAAAGTCCCCCACACAATGTTGCGAATTAGAACCCCTAACACAATGTTGCAAATTAGACACAGTAACTTAAAAAAAAAATCTTGTATTACAATTATAACAGTTAATATTGTCAACTTGACAGGATCTGGAATCACCCAGGCGACAAATCTCTGGGCATGTCTATGAGGAGCTTCTAGGGTGAGACTGAGCAGGGAAGACCCATGCTAACTGTGGGTGTCACCATCCCATGGGCTGAGGTTCCAGACTGAACACAAAGATAAAGGGGGAACTGAGTACCAGTATCTACCTGTTTCCTGACTATGGATACAGTGTGACCAGCTGCCTGGCGCTCCAGGGTATATGATCTCCCCACAGAGAGTTCCTGTGCCTTGGGACTGTGGGCCAGAATCAACCTTTCCTTCCTTGATTGTTTTTGTCAGGTGCTTGGCTCTGCACCCCCTCACACCACAATGTGTTGCCTCAACCCTGGGCTAGAGCAACAGGCCAAATTGTTGCTGGATGGGAACCTCCAAAAACGTGAGACAAAAATCAACCTTTTCTCTTTAAAAAAATTTTTGCTGGGAGTGGTGGCACATGCCTTTAATCCTAGCACTCGGGAGGCAGAGGCAGGCGGATCTCTGTGAGTTCAAGGCCAGCCTGGTCTACACAGTGAGTTCCAGGACAGCTGGGGCTATAGGGAGACCCTGTCTCAAAAAGACCAAAAAAAAAAATTTTTTTTATTTTGTTTATTTTATGTGTATGAGTGTATTGCCTGCATGTGTGTAAATGCACCCATGATGTGCAATGGCCATGGAGATCAGATGAGGGCGTCAGATTCCCTGGAACTAGAGTTACAAACAGTTGTTGGCCGCCATGTGAATGCTGGGAATTGAACCAGGGTCCTCTGCAAGAGCAGTCAGTGCTCTTAATGCTTGAATCATCTATCCAGCCCCTCTTCTCATTTTTAAGTGGTTAGTCACTTTTCTGTTGCTGTGATAGAAACACTGACCCAAGCAATTTATATAAGGAAGAGTTTATCTGAGCTTACAGTTCCAGGGGAATTATAGTTCGTCATGGCAGGGAGCCACGGTGGCTGGAGATGGCTGGAGCAGGAGAAGCAGAAGCTAAACTCTCACATCATCACGCAGGCACAGGAAGCAAGAGAGTGATTGGAGTTCTGGCAAGGCATAAGAACTCTCTAAGCGCACCCCAGTGATAGCCACACCTTCTAAAATCTCCCAAAACAGCGCCATTATCTGAGGACAAAATGTTCAAATACTTGGAGCCTATAGGGGACATTTTCATTCAAACCACCACACTCTTATTTATTATTTTGTGTTTTATTGGTATGAGTATATTGCCTTCATGTAGGTAAGTGCACCCATGTCGTGCAATGCCTGTGGAGGTCAGAAGGGGACGTCAGATTCCCCTGGAACTGGAGTTAGACACTTGTTAGCCTCCATGTGGGTGCTGGGAATCTGTTGTAGGTTTCCTCATGGGTCTAGCCCATGAGGGACTTCAGGGAACGAGGGTTCTGGCCGAGGTGGGGGTGAGTGGGATCAACACACAGACTCCGGGAGTTGGGTGGAAGCAGGCACAAGACGAGGTGCTGCAGACTCGTTTATTGATGGGAAGTGCAAGCCTTATATACCTCTCCCCCTGCCCCCAGTGTCCCATAAGTTGGTGTGTCCCTTCCTGATCCGGGCAGGATCCCCTCATTCAGGCAGATCACGAGTAGGTTGGCTATTTTGCGGAAGCGTGGGCTGAGCTCTCAAAGCAGAAGCTGTGTTCTCTTAGTGTAGCCTGTGCTTAAGCCTGGCACTTCCTCTCCTACAGGAATCGAACCTGGGTCTTCTGCAAGAGCAGTCAGTGCTCTTAACCACTGAGCCATCTCTCCAGCCTCACCTTTTCTCTTTATAATAAAAGCTGATTGTCTCAGCTATTCTTTGGGGGGGAGGGGTCTTTTTGAGACAGGGTCTCCCTATAGCCCCAGCTGTCCTGGAACTCACTATGTAGAACAGGCTGGCCTTGAACTCACAGAGATCTGCCTGCCTCTGCCTCCCAGTGCTGGGATTCAAGGCGTGTGCCTTGTCTCAGCTATTATTTAGAGTGGCAAAAGCTAACATGACACCAAGCAAAACTCCTTACTCCTAGAAACAGACAATTCTAGTCCCACAAATCCAGTCAACACAAGGTCAAACCTCATTGCCAACCTGACTGAACTGGAATCACCTAGTAGACATATCACAGGGTGTATCTGTGAGGTTGTTACCAGAGAATCTTAACTGAAGGAAGACCCACCACTAACCATGAGTTAACACCATCCCATGGGCAGGAGTTCTGAACTGAGTAAAAGAAGGGGCTGAGATGGCTTAGAGATGGTCTGGAGACCTGAGTTCGCTCCCTGAGACCCACATGGTGGATGGAGAGAACCATCTCCCCAGGTTGTCCTCTGACTTTTACGTGTGAGCTGTGGCAAGCATGCCCACACACACACATAAGGAAAAATGAATAAAACTAGTTTTAAAACTATTAAAAGGGACCTAGTACAAGACAGCTCAGCACTTGCCAACAAGACTGACAGCTTGAGTCTGATCCCTGGAACCAACATAGTAGGAGAGAACCTACTCCCACAAAGTGTCTTCTGACCTCCACACGTGGGCTATGGCATGCACACTGACACACACATACAGGATAAACAAATAAATGGGAAAAGAGCAGCCGAGCAACAGCAGGTTCGTCTCTCCTGCTGACACAGCTCCATGCAGGATGACTGCACCCTCACATGTGAGCTAAGATGAACCCTTCCTTCCCTAAGTTGTTTTTGTCAAGTATTTTCTCATAGCAACAAGAAAAGTAACTAATACACTTTTAATGTTATTTTTAAAAATAATAATAATAATAATATTAACAATAGTAATGTTATTTAAAAAAAAAAAATGGGAGACAGGAGCAGGCGGATTTCTGTAAGCTGGAGGCCAGCCTGGTCTACATAGCAAGTTCCAGGCCAGCTGGGGTTACAGGGAGACCCTGTCTCAAAAAAGACAAAACAGGGTGGGGTGTGGTGGCGCGCGCCTTTAGTCCCAGCACTTGGGAGGCAGAGGCAGGCGGATCTCTGTGAGTTCAAAGCCAGCCTGGTCTACACAGTGAGTTCCAGGACAGCTGGGGCTACAGGGAGACCCTGTCTCAAAAAGACCAAAAAAAAAAAAGGGACAAAAACCCAAACAAATAAATAAAAAAGTATCCCAAACCAGATATGGGAGCACACACCTGGGAGCACGTCGGAGGTGCAGGCAGGAGTCAAAGACCTTAGTAAGTTCAAGGCCAGTCTAGGCTTCATGAGACCTTGACTCAAAAGAAAAACAGAAGCAGCCCTTGCACAAGGGGTCAGTTGCTTGACTAGGGGACCATAATAATTCAACGAGAAAGAACAATGTTTTCAACAAGTGCTCTAGGGAGAATAGACATTTACATGTGAACAAAGTTCCCACATACATAAAGGTGGCTCACAGACCTACACATGAGTTAAAACTATAACTCTTTCTTAGAAGAGGGGGCTAAAAAGAGATGGCTCAGGGGTTTAGAGCCATTTGCAGTTCTAACAGGAGGACCAGAGTTTGGATTCCAGCACCTATATCTGGTGGCTCACAAATGCCTGTAATTCCAGATTTATGGGACCTGATGCCCTCCTCTGACCTCCAAGGACACTTCACTCACATGTACATGCTACCCCCACCCCAGCCTCAGACACACACCTCACATAATTAAAAATAAAATGAATCTTTAAAACTTAAAAAAACTCAAAAGGAAAAGCAGAGGTCAATCTCTGTAATCTTAGGTTTCAGATTAAAAGTCACCTTGGCTAAGGCATCAAATGCATAAGCAACAAGAAAAAAAAAGGAGGTCAAAGGGATTTTCTTGAGGTCTTGGATCCTCACCAGCTCCCAACGGCCCAGTACCACTTGAGGTCAAGGTCACTTCACTGTGGCACAGCTGTCACAAACACAGAAGAGCCAGGTGGCCTTGGCTCTAATCCAGCCTTACAGTTTGCTAGTCTGGGGCCTTAGCAGGTTTTTTTTTTAATTTTTTTAACCACCTTCAGAAGTAACAAGGCCTGTGAAGACATGGTACTATCGGCCACACAGGCTGCTGGGACTCCTATCAGGCACCTGTGATGGCTCCTGGCTGCCTCAACATCGCTGATCTGCCACCAGTGGCCCCCCAATCTTCTGTTTAAAATAAAAATATTATGAGGCCCCAGTTTTGGTCTGAGGTCCCTGCACGCAGAGCCCCAAAAGACCAGACCCAACGAAACTGGAGTCACTCCTGTTAAACACGGCATCAGACGGAAACGATCAGGAAGCAGATGGGCTTTTCTTGGAAAGAGGCAATTCCAGTATTCCCCACTGGGCCTTACCATAAGGGCTTCTGATCCAGTCCTGACAACAAAGTAGCAGGAGGTGGCCTGCCTTCACTCATCCAACTTCTCTTTGTTCCATTTCCCTGTCCCCACCCTGAAATTCCAGTGTCCTGCTGGGCAGGAAAGACAGACTCGTCCTGGATACTCGAAGTTGAGCCAGGACTGAGTTCAAGGTCCGGGCAGGGCACATCCTCGATGCGCGCGGTCCTGCGCTCCACGTGAAGGACAGAGCTCGGCCTTGCCGGCCCGCGGGGAGCAATTCTGCTTTGCAGGCAGAGGCCGCCCGCAACCACGAGCCGTGAATAACCCGGCTAATTCGCTGAATCCGCGCGTGTCGTGTGTCCCGCGCCACCCCGGGGCAGGGTCTCCTTAGTGAGAACGAGACCTAGGGTCTGCTGCAAACTGCGGCCCGGCTCCCGCGCTCCCCGCCCACCCCAACCGCCCGGCCGCCGCCCCGCAGTCCTCTTCTAACCATGCTTTCCCTAACACTTTGGGCAGCCCCAGCATCTTGGATCTCTTTTTCTCTAAAGTGTCCTTCCCCTCCCTACCATGTGGCTAATGGTCTCCATGTGTCTGACCTCCATGCAGGCTTTAAACAGTATGGCTTCATGGCCTTTTCCCTTCTCCCCTCCATTCTCCTCCTCAAAGCAGCTACTGAGATTTGCATCTTGCCTGCCCTGAGAATTTTTTCCTTAAATTCTAATAAAATTGTCCTTCTGCTTAACTCCATTCTTAAATTCTTTTATAAAAGAACCCTAAAAGAGAACCCCATTTTCCCCTCTTTTATGAGTGAGACTAAGAACTCTAAAAGGAGACACCCCGCCCCCATCAACTTCTGGGTTCTACTAGCTCCAGGGCTAGAAAGATGGCTCAGTGGTTAAGAGTACTGACTGCAGGTTCAATTCCCATCACCCACATGGAGGCTAACAACTGTCTAACTCCAGTTCCAGGAGATCCAATGCCTCCTTCTGACCTCTGCAGACATTGCACGACACAGGTGCACTTATACACATGGATGCAATACATTCATACACATAAAAATAATAAAATTAAAATGTTAAAAAAAAACAAACTTGCTCCAGTCCAGTGCACCTTGTAATTCCAGCACTAGGGGAGTTAAGGCAGGAGAATCATGAGTTCCGTGCCAGCCTCGCCTACATAGCAAGACCGACTCAAAACTAATAAATGAATAAAGAAGGCTGGCATTCCACGTTCTGGCCAGGTTTACTTCAAGACCTCCTGCTGACATTTGCCTATCTGTCCTCCACTCCCTCCGCAACCCATGGTCCCGTCCTGGGCCTTGGGACACTCACTGTCCAGCCTATGTGTGACAGGGCACTCACTGGACACTTGTGTGGAACCCTGGGATGGTGAGACTGACAAGATGCTAGTAAGGTTGGAAGAACTGGACCATGCTGCCTTCTGGTGGACACAAGCACTGGGACCCCGGGAAAGGAAATGGAGCTGAGCTTTGTCAGCTCCTTCCTAGCAGAACTGGTGAAAGCTGCAAAGGCAGGACAGCCCTTGGGCAGCTCTGCTGGTTGATCTGGCAGTGTCCCCAGGAGCCTTCGGGCAGCCCCCACCGAGTTCTTTGATGAACATTTTTGCCTCCTTCCTGTTCCACTGCCCTGTCTGCCGTGCCATTTCCTGCTTTCTGGCTAGTCACTTGCTCTGGTGGCTGTCACTGGTACCTGTACCTATTTGTACATTTTGTTGTAGGTGTGGATTTTTGAGGCAGTCTCATGCAGTCCAGCCTGGCCTCAAACTCACTGTGTGGCTGAGGATAACCTTGAGAACTCCTAATTCGTCTGCCTCTACCTTCTAAGTGCTAGAGTGTTGCTGTGATGCGGCGGGTTGGGTTGCGCGCTGCTACGCCAGCTATTGCTGGGGTGCGCGGGTTTCGTGCCGCGTTGCTGTGCGGGTCCCTGGCTCTCCGCGGCTACCAGGCGCTGGCGGCTCTGCAGGTCGCTGTCAGCTGCCGGGCGGGTTCTCTTCCAAGCTGCTGGACACTCCCTCTGTGCACGTGATCCATTGGCCACTTGTGATGCGGCGGGTTGGGTTGCGCGCTGCTACGCCAGCTATTGCTGGGGTGCGCGGGTTTCGTGCCGCGTTGCTGTGCGGGTCCCTGGCTCTCCGCGGCTACCAGGCGCTGGCGGCTCTGCAGGTCGCTGTCAGCTGCCGGGCGGGTTCTCTTCCAAGCTGCTGGACACTCCCTCTGTGCACGTGATCCATTGGCCACTGGATCATGAGGGGAGGTGCAGGAACAGCGAAAGCAAGATCTTCGCGAGTGGTGATACAGCTTCAGTTTACTCAGTGATTCAGCTCCAGTTTATTAGGGGGAAACTAGAGAATTTATAGTGTGCAGGCAGTAGCAAAAGCCTCAGTTGATAGGTGCTCCTAGAATGCTTTATTTACATGTCGCGGTGGGCTTCTTGTCAGACAGTCCCTGATTATCACATAGAAAAAACCTGGTAGTTTCTATGCCAGAGGTCATGTTTTAGATAAGGCATCTGTGACGGGCACTTCAAAGTGAGCCAGGAAGAGAGCAGGAGGCGCCCTGCTGAAAAGGAGGGTCTTTCCATCAGGCGCCGAGCCCCTTAGGCTATCCGGACATGGAGAAACTGCGACCCTAACAGCAGGGTTCCCCAACAAATTAGAGTTGAATAGAAAGGCCATGAAATTATCCTATCCATATTAATGATGTTGGGCTCTGGAAGACGAGAATTCTTGCAAGAAGTGTCACTGGATCAAAAGTCCTTAAAGATGTAGTGACTTTCTTTAGATAATGTCTGCTGAAGTGTGCAGTGTTATCCTGGACAATTTATTTTGCCTGCTGCTCAGTGACAACCAAGCATGATGAAAATCAGATGCTGAGCTGTTCACAAACACACACAGCTCTGATTCCCACCAGAAGTCTATGAGATGGCAGCAATCCTCTTATCCAAATAGTATAATTACCCACTAGCTAAAACCCTCTCTACCTAGGAGGACTAATTAACAGACTGAGTAGCTAAGGTTCTCTCTCATTTGTTCAAATACAGCCTATCATGGTGCTTTTATAACACTGAGGTATAAGGTTTGCCGTTTCATCTGGTCAGGGAGCATTTTACCTGATAGAGTACTTCCCAATGTTTTACTCCTCAAACTAGGGAACATTGCTATCAGGCTGTCAGACAATGCCTGATTATCATATAGGAAAAACCTGGCAGTTTCTATGCTAGAGGTCATGTATCTGTGGCGGCCACTTCAAAGGTGAGTCAGGAAGAGAGTAGGAGGTGCCCTGCTGGAAAGCAGAGTCTCTGCATAAAAACGCCAAGCCCCTTAGGCTATCCGGACATGGAGAGACTGCAACCCAAACAGCAGGGGTCCCCAACACTAGAGTTACAGACATGTCACTATACCAGGCTGCAGTGTTAAATAAGTTTCCTCCCACACTCTGGTCACTTGTCTCTATCCCTTACCCCCACCAGCACTCTCCCTAATTGGTTCAGGATTCACATGACAGTGGTGGGCACAGAGTCACCAGATGGGTGGGGAATGTGTAATGAGATTCAGTACTGAGCTGGATCATATTGCAACATGGTGACAGTTTCATGAAGTTCTTATAGTAATAGACAAAACAGAACCAAGAGCCCCTGGCCTGGACTCACCTGGGGGCCAGGCCTCTGAGCAGCTCCATCCCAGTTGGTTGGTGGGTACAGCAAGTAGGTGGGTTACAACTATGTGGGTAAGTGTCTGCTATAGGCCTCAAATGTAATGTGGTAACACTTTTACCTTTTGTGTTGGTGGAAGTTAATGATCTGTTTGAACATTCCAAAAGTATTTGACAAATACATTTTGCTATAGGCCTCAAATGTAATGTGGTAACACTTTTACCTTTTGTGTTGGTGAAAGTTAATGATCTGTTTGAACATTCCAAAAGTATTTGACAAATACATTGCTGGGAACCTCAAGTAGCCAAGGTACCCAGTGGGAAAGTCTCTGCTACAGATTTCAGATGTTTTTGATAATATCCTTAGCTTTTGCATTGGCAGAAGCTAGGGGTCTGGTCGGCCAATATATTCCAAAGGCTTTACTTTAGAGTCACTGTTAGAAAATGTTAGACAAGGAGTGAGTAGGATTGAAAAAGGAAACCATTTCTCTGCAATTCTGCCTTCTTAAGGTTTGAGGGTCAGGTAGGTGCTGGCAGATGTTTTCCTCAAATGTTGTTTCCGCACTGGTTTCTCAACTTAGCCTGGGTCTGTGTCTTTCTCCGCCAGGCTTGAGGCTTTCCAAGTTGAGACATTTATCCTTCAGTCGCAAGAAATTTAGGGCAGACACAGGTGGGCAGTGAATAGCTATGAGAGGGCTAGAGAATTTCCCAAAGTAATTTTGGCTCTGAGTCATTCCAGTTCAGTCATGCAGCCTTGGACAGTCCTCCACATAGGTGTGGCATTTCTCTGGGAACTTGTTACATCCTATTCGTGTAAGTAACAACCCTGCACCCTTCTCTCCAGGTTGTGCGTGCTGGCTCTGTCCTGGCAGAGAACCCACTGTGCGGCGCTGTTAATCTGTGGGGAGTGAGGTGGTGAGCCCTTAGGGGACCCACCTATGCCAGGAAGCCAGCCAGTGCGCATAGAGGGAAGAGGGCCGCTCTTGCCCGATGGACTCTACTACATTTCGGGCAGACCGCGGTGCTCTGGCCTGCTGGACTCAGTACTGCGTACAGCTTGAGCAGGCCTCGGTGCTCTGGCCTGCTGGACTCAGTACTGTGTACAGCTCGGACAGGCCTCGGTGCTCTGGCCTGCTGGACTCAGTACTGTGTACAGCTCGGACAAGCCGCGGTGCTCTGGCCTGCTGGCCTCAGAACTGTGTACAGCTCGAACAGGCCTCGGTGCTCTGGCCTGCTGGACTCAGTACGACGTACAGCCGGGGCAGGCCGTGGTGGTCTGGCCTGCTGGATTCAGTACTGCATACAGCTCTGACAAGCCGCGGTGCTCTGGCCTGCTGGACTCAGTACTGCGTACAGCTCGGACAAGCCGCGGTGCTCTGGCCTGCTGGACTCAGTACTGCGTACAGCTCGGACAAGCCGCGGTGCTCTGGCCTGCTGGACTCAGTACTGCGTACAGCTCGGACAAGCCGCGGTGCTCTGGCCTGCTGGACTCAGTACTGCGTACAGCTCGGACAAGCCGCGGTGCTCTGGCCTGCTGGACTCAGTACTGCGTACAGCTCGGACAAGCCGCGGTGCTCTGGCCTGCTGGACTCAGTACTGCGTACAGCTCGGACAAGCCGCGGTGCTCTGGCCTGCTGGACTCAGTACTGCGTACAGCTCGGACAAGCCGCGGTGCTCTGGCCTGCTGGACTCAGTACTGCGTACAGCTCGGACAAGCCGCGGTGCTCTGGCCTGCTGGACTCAGTACTGCGTACAGCTCGGACAAGCCGCGGTGCTCTGGCCTGCTGGACTCAGTACTGCGTACAGCTCGGACAAGCCGCGGTGCTCTGGCCTGCTGGACTCAGTACTGCGTACAGCTCGGACAAGCCGCGGTGCTCTGGCCTGCTGGACTCAGTACTGCGTACAGCTCGGACAAGCCGCGGTGCTCTGGCCTGCTGGACTCAGTACTGCGTACAGCTCGGACAAGCCGCGGTGCTCTGGCCTGCTGGACTCAGTACTGCGTACAGCTCGGACAAGCCGCGGTGCTCTGGCCTGCTGGACTCAGTACTGCGTACAGCTCGGACAAGCCGCGGTGCTCTGGCCTGCTGGACTCAGTACTGCGTACAGCTCGGACAAGCCGCGGTGCTCTGGCCTCCTGGACTCAGTACTGTGTACAGCTCGGACAAGCCGCGGTGCTCTGGCCTGCTGGACTCAGTACTGCGTACAGCTCCGGCAGACCGCGGTCCACGACCCACCCGGGCTCTTCCACTGACTCTGCTCTCATCACTGCGGCGCCCGGCCGGAGGATCGAGCTCACGGAACAGAAAGGCGACAATGAGTGAGCAGACCCACCGGGAGGCGGCGCCCGCAAGCGGCTCCAGAGCGCCGTCTTGGGACGTCATCACGCCGCGTCGACTCGTCCTCCCTACGTCCCGCGGGCTCCGGGCGGAGATGGCTGAGCTGGGTCGGGTGAGGCTGCGCGACCCCAGGGCGTTGCTGCCGGCGGGGTTCTGGGCCGCCGTGGCCGTGTGGCTGGAGAGGCCGCACGTGGCCAACAAGCGGCTGTGCGGTGCCCGCCTGGAGGCTCGCGGGAGTGCCGTCCTGCCCCGCGCTGAGCCGGGGGAGCGGGGCCCGGAGGCCGGCGGACCCCAGCGGGGACAGGGACCGCAGCCGGAGGAACGGGGCTCGGAGGGACGCGGACCCCAGCGGGGACAGGGACCGCAGCCGGAGGAACGGGGCCCGGAGGCCGGCGGACCCCAGCGGGGACAGGGACCGCAGCCGGAAGAACGGGGCCCGGAGGTCGGCGGACCCCAGCGGGGACAGGGACCGCAGCCGGAGGAGCGGGGCGCGGGAGAGCGGGGATTGGGATCCACGGCGGGCCCCGAAGGCGACGCTCCGGCCGCAAACCTGGACGCGCTGTGGGACCGGCTTTCTCGCCTGGCGCTCGGCCGCCCGGAGGTGCTGGCCTTCCTGCTGGGCCCCGCCGCGGAGCCTCAGCCCGCAGCACAGCGGGAGCTCGTCCTGGTGCTCAGGACGGTCATCCCGAAAGCGAGCCCTCACTGCCGGTTTACGGCGCCGAGGAGAGAGGTAGTGGTGCAAGGTAGGAGCACAGTAGTCTATTGTGGGGGCTGGAGCGATGGCTCAGCGGTTAAGAGCACTGACTGCTGTTGCAGGGGACCCGGGTTCGGTTCCCAGCACCCACATGGCGGCTAACAATCTTCTGTAACTCCAGTTCCAGGGGATCTGATGCCCATTTCTGCCCACTTCTGACCTCCGTGGGCATTGCACGACGCGGGTACACTTACATACATGCAGACAATGCAACATACGGCTAACAGCTGCTCTAACTCCAGTTCCAGGAGACCCAGTGTCCTATTCTGACCTCAGTATCATTGAATGACACAGGCACACTTACATACATACAAAAGAAAATAACAAAAATAAATAGCATCTGTTGCACTCCAGGCCACGGAGAAGGCACTAACGACCCTTCAGTGCCTGTTCTCTTGTGATGTGCTGGGGTTTGGAGTGACTTGGAAGGGTGTGTAGGAATGTGTTGTCAGTACAGGTGATGAAGCCCTCGAGTCCAGGGTGTGGGACTGAAAGGCTTTGGGGAGAAGGTAAAGGACGAGTTGGGGTTTGTTGATAATTGAGCAGCTGTAGAGATGGAGGAGGGGAAGCTGTGTCCAGGAGATGGCATTGTTGGTCTTTCAGACAGACTTTTCCAGTGTGTGTTTCCTGTTGCAGCTATAGCAATGTAATAGTATGACAAAATTGGTCCTTGTGGAAGCCCTGTGGGTCACAATCCTGGTTGGCTCTGCTGGTTTCTCCCAGCTCTGGTCTCTGGCAAGGCCAGAATCCATGAGCTGACTGACTGCACTCTTACCAGGATGCTCTGGGAAAGACTGCAAGCTCATTCAGGCTGGCAGGATCCAGTGTTCAGGGTTGTAGAACCGGGGTCCCTGTTTTGTTCCTGGAGCCTCTTTGGCTCCCTTTACATGCTTGGAATGGAATTCCCTGACTTGCTCTTCTGTGTCTGACTGGAGAAAGTTCTCTGCCAGTTGGGGCTGATGGGCTTGGGTTGGGCCACTCAGACAACCCCAGTATCCTTCCTCTTAAGGTCTGTAACCTTAGTCACATCTGTAAAGTCCTTGCAACATAACCTATTTCTGAGTACTGAGCAGTAGTGTGGCCATCTTTGGAAACTACTGAGCCTCCCTCAAGGCTGCAGTCGCTGTAGGTGCATGCTGCCCCCTACATCTTCTGGTTACTGGCCATCTTTGCCTTCCCAAGACCTCCCAAGAGCACTGCTCCCTGCATCCAGTGTGGGAGTTCTTACAGCTGTTGTCAGCGAGGTCCAAACATTAATACTTTTCTATTTTCTGCCAAGAGGGCCTGTGGAAGTGACCAGGAGGGAGGCCAGCAGAGCTCTTTCCTTTCTCTTCGGAGGCTCCACCCCTCAATCAGCAGTGTTGGTGTTAGGATTGCTTTCCCCTCAGCTTCTGCCAGGGAAACGCATAACAGTGTTTACCTCCTTGGAGCCACCATGATGTGACTTTGAGCCCTGTGCCCATTATTAGCAGTATGACTCTGGGCAGGTTGGGTGGGCCCTTTGTGCCCCAGTTTTTTTATTTGTAAAATTGGATAATAGTTCAGTGAAATTGCACATTATAAAGCCCTTCGGACAGTTTCTGGTGCATGTATGTGCTTAATGACGATATCTCAGTGTGGACCTGGTGCACAAACCCATCACCCCAGTCCTGGAAGTTGGTGGTGGGAGAATCAGGAGTTCAAGGCCATCCTCAGCTACATAGTGAGTTTGAGGCCAGCCTGGACTACATGGATCCATATCATTTTTTTTTAAAAAAAAAAAAAGGACATCTGGGACTGGGGAGATGGCTCAGTGGTTAAGAACACTTGCTGTTAATCCAGAGGATCCAAGTCAGATTCCCAGCACCCATATGGCGGCTAACAATCACCCATAACTCCAGTTTCAGGGGATCCAACACACTCTTCTGTCCTCTGCAGGCATTGCATGACACAGGTGCACTTACATACAAGCAGGCAAAACACTCAAACACATAAAATAATAAAATGTTTTGTAAAATAAAATAATAAAAGTTAAAACGGACATCTTAATATGGGAGCAGGTCAGGGCGACCAGATGGTAAAGCTATGACCTCGAGTTGAATAGGTCAGAGTTCAAAGAGGTCATTTAATCCCTCAGTTTCTTTATATATAGCAGAGGATCTCAACCAAAGACAGTTGTGCCCTAGAAGTTTGTTGGTATTTGTAGGCTTTCTAAAAATTTATTTTTTAGGCGTTTGAGTGTTTTGCCTGCATGTATATTGCAGTGTTCCTGGGGGCAGGAAGAGGGGTTAGATCCCTGGAGCCAGAGTTAGGGATGGTTATTAGCTTCCCCGCGGACACTCAGAACTGGACTACATCCTCTGCAAGAGAACCCAGTGCTCTTAACTGCTAAGCCATCTTTCCAATCCTGTAGACATTTTTTAAAAAAGATATCATTTAGGATGGAGAGATGACTCAGTGGTTAAGAACACTGACTGTTCTTGCAGAAGACCTGGGTTCGAATCCCAGCACCCACATGGCAGCTAACAACTGTCTGTAACTCCAACAGCCTCTTCTGTCCTCTGCGGACATTGCATAACACGGACGCACTTTCCTACATGCAGGCAGTACATGGATACACATAAAAAAATAAAAATAAATATTAAAAAAAGATATCATTTATTATTGTGTATGGTGTGCGTGAGTGTACATGTGTGCCGTGAGAACACATGTGGAGGTCAGAGAGCAACTTTGTAGAGTCAGTTCTCTCTTTCCACTGTTATGTGGGTTTCTGGGATTAAACTCAGGCTGTCAGGCTTGCATACCAGTGGCTCTACCTGCAGAGTCATCTTGCTGGCCTTGACCTACTGTGCCGCCTTGTTGGCCTTTACTACCTGCTGAGTCAGCTTGTGGGCCCTGTTTGTAGACATTTTAATCACCATGCCTGGCGGAGCCAGGGAGTGGAGACACTACTGACCCCCAGTGGGCAGAGGCTGGGATGTTGCTGGGCGTCCTGCAGAGAAGCAGATGGCTCCATGACAGAGCCATCTAACCCTGAGTGCCAGGGATGCAGGGGCCACAGAACCTCCATCCAGATGACGGCAGAAGTGATTCTAGGTTGTAAAGTTGCTATGAGCTCAAAATGAGATGGCTCGTGTACAGAACAACATCCCCTTGTTTCACAGTGGAGCTGCACTTGTGCCAACCGTGAGGCCGTGTGACTGCATCCTGGTTCCCTTTGATTTTTCTCCTGCCCTTTCTGTCCTTACCACTCACCTCTGATCCCCTCGCAGCCTGAGCACACTTCTGCCCTCTGCATCTGCAGCTGTTCCTGTTCACGCTGTTCCAGCTCCCCCACAGCTCACTCTGACCTTCACTCTGCTCACAGGCCATGTTATTGGAGAGGACTTCTCTGACTACCCACTTTGTGGGGCGACACTCCTGAGTGCCATGTTCCCGCACCTCTCCCTGTCAGAATCCAGTAAGCCCCTGTCTCTACTTCATCCTGGCAGATCCTGCCATGGAAGGTGGATTTCAATTTGTTTTCTTGGTTTGTGAAGTGAAGTTACTTTCTTTTTTAAAAGAATTTTATGGGGCTGGAGAGATGGCTCAGCGGTTAAGAACATTGGTTGTTCTTGCAGAAGACCGGGTTTCAAATCCCAGCACCCACATGGCAGCTAACAACTGTCTGTAACTCCAGTTCCAGGGGCTCCGACGGCCTCTTCTGTCCGCCGCGGGCATTACATAACATGTAATGCATGTAGGGTCTACTTACCTACATGCAGGCAATATACGCATACACAAAATAAAAATAATAAAATATTTAAATTAAAAAAAAAATTATTACATTTTATTTATGGGGGTGGGGGTGAGCATGCACAAATATGCCACGGTGTGCATGTGGAAGTCAGAGAACAACTTGCAGGAGAGAATGGGTCCCAGGGATTGAGCCCAGGTTGTCCAGACTTGGCAATAAGCACCTTTACCTGATGAACTATATTGCTAGCCTGTGAGGTATAGTTCACCCTCATTTTGGTTTTCACTATTTTTTTTGATGTCAGAGGTCAACACAGTTGATTTTAGAGATGGAACCGCATAGAACCAAGCCTTGGTTTTCCATACACTGTAGTGCTGTAACTCCGGCAGCTGTGCTGTCTACTTGTACTTTGATGGGAAGGTGAGTGCAGTGCCACTGCAGGCAGTGTGTCTGCACACATGGGCTTTGGGTCAATGTTTCCTGTCCTGAACCAGCCTGATGGTTGAGCCGTGTTCTGTGCCACCCTCATCAGATCAGAAGTTGAAGGTCATGTGTGGCAGACGCTTGGCTATATCAGGGTATCAGGGACCCCCTTCTCTGACGTACGTGTGTGGGCCTGTCCCCCACCAAGGTGCAGCTGGTCCTCCCTACCCCCCCACCCCCAGTTCCCCCCAGTGCTGGGCAGCTGCCAAGAGTGGGAAAGCAGGCACATGCTTGTCACTGCCACTCTGCCGGCCTCCCTACGAGCTGCAGAGCAGTTGTGAGCTGCTGCCCTTGTCTTTTATCCCCAGATGTCCCCAGTGGAACTGTTACCTTTTTGCCTTTGGAGGAAGATGCTGAGGGGAACGTGGAGGTTAAGATGAGCAACATATATCAGATCCAGCTCCGTCACAGTGAAGGAGAATGGTAAGACCTGGGTGGCTTCTGTTCCAATGCTCTGCGATGTCCATCACTAATGCCTGTTGCTGGGCAGCACAGAAGAGACAAGGCCCTGTCTTGGTGGGATGGTTTCAGATGTGCTCTTGTCTTCTCTGCTGCATTTGGGGTTGGCTGGGCTTGCAGCCTAGGTGCAGCCCCGTCTCTGCATTCCATGTGGCCTTGATGATCTGCAGCACCCATTGAGGTAGTATGCTAGTCCGTTTTTACTGCTGTGGCAGAATGCCAGAGGCAGTCAGCTTAAAGAAGGTTTCAGGGCCAGTGAGATGGCTGTGGGTGAAAGTGCTTGATGCCAAGTCTGACAACCTGAGTTTGATCTCTAGGACCACATGGTGTAAGGAGAAAACCAACTTCTGTAAATTGTCCTCTGTTCTCCACAGGTGTGGGGACACACACGCTTGTGCGCACACACACCACACACACACCACACACATACACCACACACATACACCACACCCTACACACACCACACACACACCATACACACCACACACCACATACACACCCCATGCACACGCTATGCACCCCCATACACACCACACACACCACCCATACACCACATACATACCCCCACACACCACATACACCACATACACACACAGTACACACCCCATGCACACCCTGCACACACCACACACACCCCTCACCCCCCCACACCACATACACCCCACACACTCCACACACCCTACACACACCACACATGCCACATACACACCACACACACCCTACACACCCCACACACACCACATACATACCCCCACATACCCCCCCACCACATATACACACATACCACACACCCTCCACACCCCACACACACCCTCCACACCCCCCCACCACCACACACACACACCCATTCCTCCACCACACAACCACACACTACCACACACACCACACCCCCCACACCCCCCACACACCACACATACCACACACACACATACCACATACATACCACACACACAAATCACACACACACCCCCATACCACACACTCCACATACACACCCCCCCACCACACATACACCACCACACACACACACACCACACACCATACACACACGTATCACACACACACACACACACACACGAGGGGGGTGGCATCTTAGATTCTGCTTTTGGGAGACAGACGCGTGGCGTATGGCTGGGAGCTGAAGCCGGCCTCTCACTGCTGGCGTATGGCTGGGAGCTGAAGCCGGCCTCTCACTGCTGGCGTATGGCTGGGAGCTGAAGCCGGCCTCTCACTGCTGTCTCTCTTGTTTTTGAAGGTTCATGTCTATTTTAATTTTCTGTCCAGAGAGGTGGCATTCCGATGGTGTTGTCTATCCCACGCCTGCCTGGCTGGGAGAAGAGCTGCTGGCCAGGTTGGCCAGGTGGGCTGTGGAGAACAGGAAGAGTGAGTTTAAAAGCACACTTTCCCTCGTGTCTGTCACGCGCTACAGCAGGATGTACCAGGAACTCAAAGAGAAGTACAGAGACATGGTTAAGGTACTGCTGGAGGCGTGTCCACGGCCCTCCCTTGACAGGTGATGTGGACAGTGTCTGCAGGGAAAGTCTGTTCTCCCCAGACCTCCTAGTTGTTTGGATGTGGACATCAAGTCCAGTCCCCACTGAAGACCCACTGTGAATGCAGATGTCATAAGCCAGATGGATCTTTTGGTACATTTTTAAACCCAGAAGGGTTTACCAAAAGGGGAATTTTAATCTAAAGTCATTGATCATTGTATTAATTACAAAGTTAGCAAAGTTAAGGCTTTGCTTTTGTTCTTGGTTTTTGAGACAGGGTCTCCCTGTAGCCCCAGGTCTGGAAATCATGTAGGCTAGGCTGGTCTCCATCTCACAGAGATCTACCTGCCTCTGCCTCCCCAGTACTGAGAGTAAAGGCTTGTGCCACCGCGCCTGGCACAGAGTTTAAGTTTTGTTTAAATTTTGTTTTGTTTTTTTGAGACAAGTTCTCTCTGTGTAGGCCAGGCTAGTCTGAAACACACAGTCTTCCTGCCTCGGTTTCCTGAGTGCTGGGATTGCAGGCATGTGCCACCATGTGGGCCTGGCTAACTTAAAGATGTCTCTAAAACACGAGGAACTGAAGTACACAGGAAGTGCTCCAGAGGCAGCGCACTTCCCTCAACATGACTTTGAGTTAGTCCTTGCTCCTGTGAGGCAAAGTACCCGAAGTCTTGGGGCTTGGAGCCGTGACAGCGCATTGTAGCAGTGCAGTACGTGGTGTGCTGTTGAGCTGGCTGTGCACAGCTGGGCTCCCTCTGCCTGCCTGTGAACTACCCTTAAGGAATACCTTTAAGAAGGTCCCTGTTGTTCAGCTTCTAAAATTGTTGCCTAGGACATGGTCATCTGTTATCATGCATGGAACCTGGAAACGAAGTCTCGGCATCTGTGCTGACCTTGGAGCGTCAGATCTGCTGTGGCTGACCTTGGAGTGTCAGGTCTGCCCATGACTGACCTTGGAGTGTCCAGTGGCTGACCTTGGAGTGTCAGGTCTGCCCCTGGCTGACCTTGGAGTGTCAAGTCTTGACGTGGCTGACCTTTGAGTGTCAGGTCTGCCCCTGGCTGACCTTGGAGTGTCTGGTCTGCCCGTGGCTGACCTTGGAGTGTCAGGTCTGCCCCTGGCTGACCTTTGAGTGTCAGGTCTTGACATGGCTGACCTTGGAGTGTCAGGTCTGCCCGTGGCTGACCTTGGAGTGTCAGGTCTTGACGTGGCTGACCTTGGAGTGTCCGGTCTGCCCGTGGCTGACCTTGGAGTGTCAGGTCTTGACGTGGCTGACCTTTGAGTGTCCGGTCTGCCCGTGGCTGACCTTGGAGTGTCAGGTCTGCCCTTGGCTGACCTTGGAGTGTCAAGTCTTGACGTGGCTGACCTTGGAGTGTCAGGTCTTGACATGGCTGACCTTGGAGTGTCAGGTCTGCCCCTGGCTGACCTTGGGGTGTCAGGTCTTTACGTGGCTGACCTTGGGACAGCAGGTGGCTGACCTTGGAGTGTCAGGTCTTGACGTGGCTGACCTTGGAGTGTCAGGTCTTGATGTGGCTGACCTTGGAGTGTCAGGTCTGCCCCTGGCTGACTTCAGCACTGAGGCCACCTTTACTGCTCACGAGGCTCCTTGGTTATCGACCTGCATGTCCGTCATGGCCTGGTCCTGAGGAGAAGGTGTATGTTTAGGTATCTGTGAGTGTCCTGAAGTTAGGCTGGCAGCCAGCAAGCCCCATGATCCTCCTGTCTCTGTTCCCCCAGGGCCAAAGCTAAAGGTGCATGAACTGCCACACGTGTCTGGGAACTTAAGCTCTGATCCTCATGCTTATACTGCAGGCACTGAGTGTCTCCACAGCCCACCCTCCTCGTTTCATAGATCATTGCCTTCATCCAGACAAGCAGCGAGGGCGGGTAGTGGAGCACTTTCATCTGGTATCCAGTTGCTGCATCAAAACACCATACATCCAGTTTGTTTATTGCAAAGACTTGCTTTGGATCATGTTGTACAGGACATGTTCTGTCACATACAAGTAGTGTAATAACTGTGTGTCTTTGTGTAAATCACTTATTATAAGAAATCAAGCCGGGCATGGTGGCTCACGCCTGTAGTCCCAGCACTCCGGAGGCAGAGGCAAGCAGATCTCTGTGAGTTCAAGACTAGCCTGGTCCACATAGTGAGTTCCAAGACAGCTGGGGCTACAGGGAGACCCTGCTTCAAAAAGACAAAAAAAAAAAAAAATGAGAAATCAGTTGTGAATTTGTACTATATTTTTTATTTTATTGCATGATTGATTTAACTTAAGATTTTTGGGAATACTTTAAGTTATGTAAGGCAGCTGAACATCCATTTTCATTTTCTCTTGAAAACATTTTAGGTTTGGCCTGAAGTAACGGATCCTGCAAAGTTTGTCTATGAAGATGTGGCCATTGCTACGTACCTGCTGGTAAGAACATGTACATCACAGGAGCTGGAGAGATGGCTCATCAGTTAGGAGCACTGGCTACTCTTGCACTGGACCTGGGTTTGGTTCCCAGCACCCACATGAGGGCTAACAGCTGTCCATAACTCCAGTTCCAGGGGATCTGATGGCCTCTTCTGAACTCCTTGAGCATTGTATGATGACACAAGTGTACTTACTTACCTGAATGCAATACACTCACATACATGCATGAAATACACTCATACACATAAAATAAAATAGAAATAGTGAAATTTTTGTTGTTTTTATGTTCTTTTGCAAGACAGGGTGTCCCAGTAACCCCAGCTGGCCTGGAACTCACTATGTAGACCAGGCTGGCCTCAAACTCACAGAGATCCGCCTGCCTCTGCCTCCTGAGTGCTGGGATTAAAGGTGTGCTCCACCACGCCCTTTTTAAAATAAGAGAACGTGCGATTTTCACACTTAGTGGAGTTCGTGAAAGTTACCACTGGCAGATGCCCCCAGAAGCAGGGGACGTTTACCAAATCCATGACTTGTGGTTTGTCCGGATGGCTCCACATGCAGTGGTTTCACACTCCTACTTGACTTCTGCATGAGTACAGAGCATGTTTGAATTGGGAACTGTACCCAGCACAGGCTGGGTGGACAGCAATGATTTACAGTCATGGAGGTGTCAACCGACACGTGCCTTCTAGCTGTGGGCCTCAGCCTCTCTCCCTTAATTCTTCCTTAACCAGCTGACTGGCCAGCTCATTTGTACACGCTCTTAACTCTATACTCTTGATTTTCTTAACTGTCAAATGTTTAAACTAGAAATTTCCAATTTTCCTTTAACTTACAATTCTCTTAGTTTAGAAATTGCCTTTTTTTTTTTTTTAAATCAAAGCATTAAAAATTAAGAGATGTAGAAGAAGCATGAAGAAACCCCAAATCTAATCATCTTGGGTCACTCATGTCTAGAGACGGCCACTTAGATGTGGATGTGTTTTCTCGTGGTGCTGGGTGTGGAACCCAGGGCCTTATGCATGCCAGACACATGTTCTGCTGCTGGTACCACTAATCTATACCCAGCCTTGAACAAACAAAGCAGCTTTGATCCCTGTGCAACACCAGGGGAGAACAGCAGGGATCTTGGCCTCCTCGGGGTCCCCCCGAGTCTGTTCTGTTCACCTGCGTCATGTGTCTGAAGCCACAGGGCCTTGGGTGAGGTCTGGCCGTCCTACCTGTGGATTGGCATTTGTTAAGATTCTTTTTTCTTCTTTCTTTTTCATTGTAATTCTTGGAATGGAACCCAGGGCCTCACATGTGTTAGGCAAGTGCAGACCCTTTTTAAACTTTTGAGACAGGGAGATACCAGATTTCCCAGGCAAGCCTCGAACTTGCAGATCTCCTGCCTCATTATCTGGGAGCACGGGTATGACCTATGTCCAGTTGGGATTGTTCTGGAATAGAACGAGTGACCACATGCCTTGACTTGACCATCTCTCTCCTCAGATCCTGTGGGAGGAGGAAAGAGCTCAGAAGAGAATCTCCATCAAACAGTCCTTCGTGGACCTAGGGTGCGGAAATGGCCTCCTGGTCCACATCCTGAGCAGTGAGGGGGTGAGCATGGCTCTTTTCTTGGGGTTTCTCCAGGTCAGGCACAGAGGCCCCAGCGTTCTTTTTTGATGCTACTGTCTGGACTTGGAGACAGCTAGCCTTGACTCAGAATGGTGCCCACAGCTTCGGGAGCTTGGAAAGGTCACACCTTCTTCCCAGATGTTTATGAAAGGGTAGATTTGTGATGGTGACCCCTGTGAGGACCTGGAAACCAGGGTAAAGGGACTGAAGGAAGGTATCTGGGCCCCCTTCCTGTGTGGGCGGAATGAATCTGATTGCTCTAGGAGAGCAACAAGGGTATCCAGGATGCAGGGACCTTGACAGGACTGAGCACAGGCTCATAGTCCATGCACATTCTCTGGACACAGGCCACTGTGGTCCCTCTTAAAGACTTGTAGTGACCACTGATGGGTGCAGATTCTCACCAACCATGCAGGGGTGTAAGTGCAGCTGAGGGTGTGTCCTGGCTCCTGCTGGTTTGCTGTGATGGCCCAAACTTAACCCTTGATTTCAAAACTGCTCATTTCAGCATCCGGGCAGAGGGATTGATGTCCGAAGAAGAAAAATCTGGGACATGTACGGACCCCACACTCAGCTGGAGGTATGGCTCTTCCTGTGTGCTTGATTTTTCTCTCAGTCCTGATTGATCTCAGTGTGCTTCTTCCCAGGAGGCAGCTGTGGGCAGGAGTGTCTCTGGGGTTCAGCAGCACTCACCATGAACATGCACTTTAATGTGAGTGCCCTGAAATAGGAAGGAAGTGATGGGGGAAGCTTTCGACTTTGACAGCCTCTGGTTGTAGTGGCCTAGAGACACCTTCCCTGAGCTGTGCTGTGTGTCTCCTGTGAGATGCTCCCCGCTGCCTGCAGGGTGGAGGCATGCCGCTTCTCTCCAGGCCCGCTTCAGGTGTCAGCTCAGACATTCTGGATGGTGCTGCGCAGCCTACCAGAACCCCTCAGGGTGGCTTTTGGGTCTGGCTGCCCTCCCTCTATGTAGTACTGGTACCAGCTGCCCTTCTGGCTCCAGCGTCTGCTTGTCACCCACATTGGAGCTGATGTGATGAGATCATGGGTTCTCATTTGCTGGAGAGCAGTGTTACCAAGAGATGAAGAGGTGGCTGGGCATGGTGGACAGGCCTGCAGTGTGAGGGAGGCTGAGGCAGGGGACCACAGGTGTAAGTCCTGCAGGCTGCAGAGAAGTTCAAGACCAGCTTGGACAACTTACTGAGATTGTCTCAAAATCAAAACTAAGAAAAAGAGGGCTGGGGATGTAACTCGGTGGCAGAATGCTTGCTTAGCTTGCCCAAGGTCCTGGGTTCAGTGTCTAGGGTAGAAAAAAGTTTGCTTTTCAGGCCAGTGAACTGGCTTGGTGGATGAAAGTGTTTGCTGAGAAAGCCTGATGACCGAGTTTGATGACCCTAGAACCCATGGTAACAGGAGAGACCCAACTCCCTGGAGCTGTCATCTGACTCACATCCTTGCACTCACAGGCCTGATGATGATGATGGTGATGATGATGATAAATATTTTCATTCCATTTTAAGTGTGTAGGAGAAGAATTTTGTACCAGCCACTCTTCTTGTTGCTATAACCAAAGACCTGTCAAGAAATATGTTAAGGAAAAAGGGTTTACTTTGGCTCATGCTTTGAGGGGAAGCATGGTGGCAGGAAGGTGAGGCAACTGGCCGTGTCTGTGTTCGCTGTCAGGAGACAGAAAGAGGAGTTGCTCAGCTCACCTTACTTCTAGTCCTGCCAGGACCTGGGCCATAGCATGGTGCCACCAAATTCATGGAGGGTCTTCCTTCCTGAGTTAGACCTCTCTGTAAGCATGCTCATAGACATACCCAGAAGTATGTCTCCTAGGTGATTCTGAATTCCATCAGGTTGACAGTCAAGTGTAATGAGCTCTAAGAATTCAGCAGCAGCAGCTGCTGTTCCTGTCTGTCCCATCCCTGCCCACAGCTCCTGCTTCACACACAAATAGAAGAGACAGCTCTGAAGTCCATTGTTTCCTTTTCCCTCATCTCCTTTTACACTTGAATAGTATTAGGAAAAGGGTTGAAGGAAGGGGACCTTGCTGTAGTACCCGAGTCTTTTCTGCCTTCTGAATTCATGGTTGCTTTATTCTGTCAGGGATTCATAGTGCTTTGTAGATTCATATGTTAGGAAATTTGGCCAAGCATGTTTGTACACTCCTGTAATCCTAGCTCTTGGGAGGCAGAAGCAGGAAGATCAAAAGTTCAAGGCCAGCCTCAAGTATGCAGTGATCTCAACTACATAATGAGCTCAGCCTGGGCTGAGTTGAGACCCTGTCTCAAAAAATAAAAAAGGAAAGAAATGAAAGCTGCGCTTTTTTTTTTGTCTTTTTGAAATTTTTGAAGCAGGGTCACCCTATAGCCCCAGCTGTGTTGGAACTCACTATGTAGACCAGGCCAGCCTTGAACTCACAGAGATCCTCCTGCCTCTGCCTCCCAAGTGCTGGGACTACAGGTGTGCACCACCAGGCTTGGCTCAAAAAGCTGCTTTTATGATCAAGCATGGTGACGTACGCCTTTAACCAGCACTCAGGAGGCAGAAGCATGCAGATCTCTGCGAGTCCAAGCCAGCCAGGGTTACACAGCAAGACCCTGTCCCAAAAGAAAGAAGGAAGGATGCTCTTAGAACCTTAGGTTTGGCCTGATGTGGCTCCACGTGGTGTAAGGACAGACCTCAGCAGACTGCCCGAGAGTGCCTGGATCTGGCTTCTGCCTACTTTAGGAGCAGACCTCAGCAGACAGCCTGAGAGCACCTGGATCCAGCCTTTGTGGTGGGGAGCCTCCCCAAATTGCACCGTGCCCAAATCCCTAATTGGGATTATGTGAGGCTCCTCCCACTTTGCCGGGGCTAGAACTCTCTGCCCTACAGTAGGGACTGAGACCTTAGCAGACTGCCTGAGAGTGCCTAAATCAAGCCTCTCCTTAGCAAACTTCCCAAATTGTGCTGTGAGTGCCTGCTAGTAGAGATCCAGACATTAGAAGGAAGCCTGAGTGTACCTGACTGGAACCTGACTTGGGCCTCTGTGGGAGCTCCTGAGTAGCTGATCTGAAGCCATCAGTTCCCTCCAATATAAAAGAGAATCTGAAGCCTAGACCAACCAGCTTTACATACCCAATAAGAAAACATCCAAGACACAGCAATAATGCAAACAGAATCAGACTTCAACCCAACAAAGGAAGGCTTGGGTTAAACACCAGAATCACAAACAACAAAAGAAATCCACATGCCAGAATCACAATGGAAAAATAATAATATGGAAAACCAAAACAGTATGTTCCCACCCAACAGTATGTTCCTGTAAAAGAATTCTACAAAGAAGAACCCCCTAGAGATAATCCAGGACTCCGAATTTAAAAGAACAATCATAAACATGATCAAGGAATTCAATGAATTTAAAGAAGATACAAACAAATCAAAGAACTAAAAGAAGATAGGGATAAACTTCTGAATGAATTCACAAAACAGAAACATTGAAGAAAACTCAGGCTGAAATGAAGAAGGAACTGCAAAACTCAGTAAGCCAACTTGAAACAACAGGGGAAAGCCTCACAGATACAATGAATGAAATGGAAAACAGAATATCAAGACTGGAGGATAAAGTTGAAGAATTGGACTGCTTAAGCAAAGGTTATGAATTTAAAAAAATATTTTATTTTTATTTATGTGTATGCGTGTATTGCCTGCATGTAGGTAAGTGCACCCATGTCATGCAGTGCCCACGGAGGACAGAAGAGGCTATTGAATCCCCTGGAACTGAAGTTATGGACAGTTGCTGCCATGTGGGTGCTGGGATTCAAACCTGGGTCTTCTGCAAGAACAGTCAGTGTTCTTAACTGCTGAGCCATCTCTCCAGCCCCAGATTATGAAAAAATTTTTTAAACACAGGAATGGAATATGCAGGAAATATGGGATACCATGAAAAGACCAAATCCACGTATCATAGGCATAGAGGAAGGAGAAGTATTTCAGGTTAATGGTATTGACTAGATCTTAAACAGGATTGTAGAAGAGAATTTCCCAAAATTAAGGAAAGCTCTCCCCATACAAGTGCAAGAAGCACATAGAACACCAAATAGACAGGACCAGAAAAGAAACTCCCCACAGCATATCATAGTAAAAACACTAACTGTTCAGAACAAAGAGAGAATACTGAAAGCTGAAAAAAGGGACTCACATACAAAGGAAAGCCCATCATGATTATAGCTGACTTATCAGTGCAAACTTTGAAAGCCAGAAGAGTCTGGACCAAAGTATTCCCAGTTCTAAATGACCCTAGATGCCAACCCAGAACACTTTACTCAGCAAAAATGTCTATTATAGTTGAAAGGGAAAGAAAAATCTTCCATGACACTAATAGGCTGGAAGAATACATGTTTACAAAACCAGCCCTTCAAAGAATACTTAAAGCAATAAAAAGAATGGAGAAAGGAACAAGTATACCCCAGGGGTAACAGAAAGAAACTAAAACAAAGGTATAATTCTGAAAACACAAAATTAGACAAAGAATGCAAACAGTATTCAAAATGACGGCAACCAGTACACATCTTTCAATAGTAACTTTAAATATCAATGGACTGAACTCCCCAATCAAAACACACAAGCTAGTTGAATGGATTAAGAAACAAAAATCCATTCTTTTGTTGTCTGCAAGAAACCCATCTCACCTTCAAGGACAGGCACTACCTTAAGGTGAAAGGATGGAAAAGAATATTCCAAGCTAGTGGCACTAAGAAACAAGCAGGGGTTGCAATTCTAATATCTGACAAAGTAGACTTCAAACTAAAATTAATCAGAAGAGATAAAGAGGGTTACTTCATTCTGATCAAAGGAACTATTAACCAAGAAGTATTACAATCATGAACATATTTGCACCAAACTCTGGTGCACCCAACTTCATAAAAACAACACTATAGGATTTTAAGACACAGATTAACCCTATCTCATTAATAGTAGGGGAGGACTTCAATACCCCACTGTCTCCATTAGACAGGTCAACCAGACAAAGAATAGATATCTGATTAAATGATACCATACATCAAATGAACCTAACAGACATCTACCAAATATTCTACCCAAGCACCAAAGAGTACACTTTTATTCAGCACCCATGGAACTTTCTCAAGAATTGACCATATACTGGGGCACAAAACAAACCTCAACGAATACAAAAAAAAAAAAATTGAAATAATTCTAGGCATTCTATCAGACCACAATGCAATAAAGTTTAAAATCAATACTGGAAGAAGCCCTAGTAACTACATGAACTCATGGAGAATAAACAACAACACACTCTTGAAGGATGAGTGGGTCAAAGGAAAAATTAAGAAAGAAAAGTATCCCTGGTATTAAACAGGACAATGCAACACAACAAAACCTCTGGGACAGTACTGAGAGGGAAGTTTATAGCTCTTAAGTGCCTACATTAAAAAAAAAAATCAGAAAAAGTACAAATAAAAGATGCAACATTCCAACTCAAGACTCTGGAAAAGCAAGAACAAATGAAACCCAAACCTAGTAGACAAGAAGAAATAACAAAAATCAGAGCAGAAATTAATAGAGACAAAACCA